TAGAGTAGCAGGAACAGAAAGAATAGCTGCAACAGCAGCGCAGCGGACGCCTGCACCACCACCATTAGCAGTAGCTGCAAAAATGTTGTTCTTCGGCGCAGCATGTTTTTGGAGGTCGTTCCGTCCTTCAGTAACATGGTGTTTCGGTGTGGCGAAGGGTGTGTTTTGAAGGCCAGCACCAGCTCCAGCAGCAGCAGCAGCAGCAGCAGCAGGCCCAGCAGCTGCAATCGCTGAATCCAGAAGGATCCAGAAGGGACGTCAAGCCTCGGGGCAGCATGTTTTTGGAGGTTGTTCCGTCCTTCAGTAGCATGGTGTTTCGGTGTGGCGAGGGGTACGTTGTGGAAGCCTGCAGCAGCAGCAGCAGCAGCGGTAGCAGCAGCAGCAGCAGCAGCAGCAGGCCCAGCAGCTAAACTCGCTTTGTTTTTATGAGAATCCAGAAGGGACGTCAAGCCCCGGGACAGCATGTTTTTGGAGGTCGTTCCGTCCTTCAGGGCCATTGTGTTTTGCTGTTTCGCAACCGCCCGCTAGGACTTGGTTGTGGAGCTGTTTTGAGGGGACGGGGGCTGCACTTTGGAGCTGGTTTCTTGTTTGTTCAGAACCAGCTCCAGCAGCACCACCAGCAGCAGCAGGAGCAGCAGCAGCAGCAGCAGGCCCAGCAGCTGCAATCGCTGAATCCAGAAGGATCCAGAAAGGACGTCAGCCTCCGGGCAGCATGTTTTTGGAGGTTGTTCCGTCCTTCAGTAGCATGGTGTTTCGGTGTGGCGAGGGGTACGTTGTGGAAGCCTGCAGCAGCAGCAGCAGCAGCAGCGGTAGCGGCAGCAGCAGCAGCAGCAGGCCCAGCAGCTAAACTCGCTTGCCCCGGGACAGCATGTTTTTGGAGGTCGTTCCGTCCTTCAGGGCCATGGTGCATGCGTTGCTGTTTCGGAATCGCGAGCTGTTTTGAGGGGATGGGAGCTGCAGTTTGGAGCTGGTTTCTTGTCGGTTCAGAAGGCAACGTTAGGCAGTGGAGCCTGCTTGCTAGGCGCCGCTTCCGTCCTTCAGTGCCATGGTGTTTTGCTGTTTCGGAATCGCCCGCTAGAACTTCGCTGTGGAGGGCATGGGAGCTGCAGTTTGGAGCTGGTTTCTTGTCGGTTCAGAAGGCAACGTTAGGCAGTGGAGCCTGCTTGCTAGGCGCCGCTTCCGTCCTTCAGTGCCATGGTGTTTTGCTGTTTCAGAATCGCCCGCAGGCAACAGAATCTGTCGAAAAATGCTGTTTTTCTAGGATTTCAGACGACACGTTAGGTAGTTTTTTGGCGTGGTTTTGGAACTAGCTCGTCCTTCAGTGCCATGGTGTTTTGCTGTTTCGGAATCGCCCGTAGAACTTCGCTGCGGAGCTGTTTTGAAGGCATGGGAGCTGCACTTTGGAGCTGGTTTGGCAGTAGCAGCGGCAGCAGTGAGTCCAGCAGCAGCAGTAGCAGTAAGAGCAGCGGCAGCAGTGCAGCAGCTAGCAGCAAGCTAGCAGCAGCCAGAAGCTCTTAAAAAGGCAAAAAATTGTTTAAAAAACTGATCATTTCCGCACCAGCAGCAAGCTTTTTGTAGGATTTCAGAAGGGACGTTCCGGCCCCGGAAAACGCATATTTTGGATTCGGTTCGTCCTTTAGGGCCATTGTGTTTTGCTGCCGGGAGCTGCGGCAGCAGCCAGAGCAGCGGCTGTGGCAGTAGCAGCGGCAGCAGTGAGTCCAGCAGCAGCAGTAGCAGTAAGAGCAGCGGCAGCAGTGCAGCAGCTAGCCGCCAGCTAGCAGCAGCCAGCACCTCTTAAAAAAGTAAAAACTGATATTTCCGCACCAGCAGCAAGCTTTTTATAGGATTTCAGAAGGGACGTTCCGGCCCCGGGAAACGTATATTTTGGACTCGGTTCGTCCTTTAGGGCCATGGTGTTTTGCTGCCGGGAGCTGCAGCAGCGGCCGTGGCAGTGGCAGCGGCAGCTGTGAGTCCAGCAGCAGCAGTAGCAGTAAGAGCAGCGGCAGCAGTGCAGTAGCTAGCAGCTAGCTAGCAGCAGCCAGAAGCCTTGAAAAATGTAAGAAATTGATTATTTCTGTACCAGCAGCAAGCTTTTTGTAAGATTTCAGAAGGGACGTTCCGGCCCCGGGAAACGTATATTTTGGATTCGGTTCGTCCTTTAGGGCCATGGTGTTTTGCTGCCGGGAGCTGCAGCAGCCAGAGCAGCGGCCGTGGCAGTGGCAGCTAGCAGCCAGCTAGCAGCAGCTAGCTCTTAAAAATGTAAAAAGCTGATAATTTCCGCACCATCAGCAAACTTTTTGCAGGATTTCAGAAGGGACGTTCCGGCCCCGGCCGGGAAACGTATATTTTGGATTCGGTTCGTCCTTTAGGGCCATGGTTTTTTGCTGCCGGGAGCTGCAGCAGCAGCCAGAGCAGCGGCCGTGGCAGTAGCAGCGGCAGCAGGGAGTCCAGCAGCAGCAGTAGCAGTAAGAGCAGCGGCAGCATTGCAGCAGCTAGCAGCAAGCTAGCAGCAAGCGAGCAGCAGCCAGAAGCTCTTAAAAAGGTAAAAAAATGTTTAAAAAACTGATAATTTCCGCACCAGCAGCAAGCTTTTTGTAGGATTTCCGAAGGGACGTTCCGGCCCCGGGAAACGTATATTTTGGACTCGGTTCATCCTTTAGGGCCATGGTGTTTTGCTGCCGGGAGCTGCAGCAGCAGCCAGAGCAGCGGCTGCGGCAGTAGCAGCGGCAGCAGTGAGTCCAGCAGCCGCCGTAAGAGCAGCGGCAGCAGTACAGCAGCTAGCAGTAAGCTAGCAGCAGCCAGCAGCTCTGAAAAAAGTAAAAAACTGATATTTCCGCACCAGCAGCAAGAGCAGCGGCAGTGGCAGTAGCAGTGGCAGCAGCGAGTCCAGCACTAGCAGTAAGAGCAGCAGCAGCGAACAGCCAGCTAGCAGCTCTTAAAAAGGTTTGAAACCATGAGATATTTATTTATATTTTTGTTCCGGCCCCGGGAAACGTATATTTTGGACTCGGTTCGTCCTTTAGGGCCATGCTATTTTGCTGCCGGGAAGTGTTTCGCACGCGTTCGCCAAAGCAAGTTTAGCCGCACCAGCAGCAAGAGCAGCGGCAGCAGCGAGTCCAGCACTCGCAGTAAGAGCAGCAGCAGCTAACAGGCAGCTAGCAGCTCTTAAAAAAGGTTTGAAACCATGATTTATTTTTGTAGGATTTCAGAAGGGACATCCCGGCCCCGGGAAACGTATATTTTGGACTCGCTTCATCCTTTAGGGCCATGGTGTTTTGCTGCCGGGAGCTGCAGCAGCAGCCAGAGCAGCGGCTGTGGCAGTAGCAGCGGCAGCAGTGAGTCCAGCAGCAGCAGTAGCAGTAAGAGCAGCGGCAGCAGTGCAGCAGCTAGCAGCCAGCTAGCAGCAGCCAGCAGCTCTTAAAAAGGTGGAAAAATGATAAGGGCTATGCATTTTATAGAATAGCTTCAATCCAAAAAAGAAGTTGTGTAGCTATTTTATGGCACCAACTAAGCTGAAGCTTTCTTGTCATGATAGCTTTTGGCAATTTGGTCTTATGTCTCTCGGCCCAAATGACCATAGATGTGTTGTTGGGTTCAGAGCAAGCTTCTTATCAACTGTCTCGTCATGCAGCCAGCACCTAACTGCAATTGATCCGAAAGCTGCACCAGTTACTGACATAGCCCTTCGTGCATGATCCTGCATGTGATGATGCATTTGCCAAATTTTCTCGCGGCTCTTTCCTGTTTCACCAGCCCTTGAAGAAATTGGAACACTGCGGCATCTGCCCAAGGCCTAGAAGTCATCTGCGTCAGGTATATTTTGTCAGATATTGTTTAACTTTCTCGAACAGTTGCAATGCAAAGTCCAAAAAAAATAGAGTTGATCATCGTATTTTCCCACATCGTTTTTGGACACCAGCAATCCCCGATTCTTTACCGGGGTCGGCGGCAGGGGCGGCAGCCCTTATACACTAAAAATATCTAAAAATGAGCCAAATCTGTTAACCGTCCCAGCCGCGCAGTCTGACAGGTCCATCTCGCAAGGATCCACCTGCGATGGGCAGAGATCCTCCGTATCCCAAGATATCCCAAGTATATCCCCATAAAGGTTGGTTATATGAGTTACAATATATGGGATATACTTGGGATATCTTGGTTATGTTATATGAGTTACAGTATATGTATATGTCATGAAATCACCATGCTTTTTGCATGTACCCTCCGATGTCAAATGGCAAGCTATTGAAAATCCCACAATGATGATTTCTCCAGAAACCTTCATTTAGCTCGGGGATTTTTCAGCTAGCCATGTTTGATGACACCGGAGAGTATCACTACTTTGGCAAGGTGTTGCTTTTCCATGCTTCTTGGTCGTTGCTACCATTGCCAATTGCACCAACCGAGAGAAACGCTGCTTGGGCACATGAGCCAGATCTGACAATCCCATCTCTCTAATATCAAACATCCCAAGGGCCTGAAATGAAAAGATTCAATAAACCAAACCTGGGTTTCTAGGGCTACTTGATAACAGGGGGAAGGGATTACAAACGGACGACTCTCTGGGCTCTGGGGAATAAGGCTTTCTCCCAGTACCATGCTCTACCTCTTTCAGAATCGCTTTCACTATGCCAGCAAAGGGACTCAAACTTTGACGGCTGTCGATTCTCTTGCATCCGCACCGGGTCAAAATGCAGCCAACTCTCTGCCGTATCTCAACTAGACCGACTATGATGTCATGGTGTTCGTGGGTTCAGCCTCCCTCGAGTAATCCAACCTAACTCCGCCACGTTCGATCTGATCTTCAAAAAAAACAGATTCTCCAACCACCTCCAACCACTTTCCATGATTTTCCAACATGTTTTATCACCAGATTAGTCCATTCCGATGTTATATAAATACCCCAAAATGAACAAATCCAACACGTTTTACCAGGGGGTTCTAGTGGTATTTCACGTGGGATGGAGAATGGTCCATCATCCCCAAAGCTAAGATTTAAATCTTCAGTTTTCCCATGTTTGCCCTCCCAGCTGAGCCAATTTTCGCAACTCCGCCACGGCCCAGTCCATCTCCAGGTCCAACTCCGTGAAGCGCGCGGCATCCGTCAGCGACGGCGCATAGGCGCGCTCCGTGGCGGACCTTCCGTCCACCTCGAAGGCCCGGACGAAGTGCTGCGCGCGCAGACGGCGGATGGGCAGAAACGGCATGGAGAAACCTGAGGTTTGAAGGGTTGCGGGTGCTTAATTTCTGAGATGACGCTGGTTTTGGGGCTGTTATCCTAAATTTTGGAACCTCGGGTGTTTCTAGTTGCTTTTTTAGACATTGATTTCTTTTCGCAAAATGCTGGGATGTTTCTCTTTCTGGTTCAACAAAAGTATATCAGCATGTAATGAAAATGCCTGGCTCGTGATATTTTCATGTACTTTCAGAATCTGGGAAATGGACAAAAAACAAGTGTGTTGAATGCATCATCAATCAATTGAACGCCCCTTGGCCTGACTTGTTGAAATCAACCGCCATGTTGGTCATCAGCAAGTCCACTTCAGCAGCTTTCATTATAGGCACCCAGCTGTCATCTCGCAAGGGATCATCAATGGAAAGTTGGATGGGTTCACAGCGCTGGTACTGACTGAAGACTGGCACTGGAAGGCCCACTTCGGCACTGATCCCTGCAGCATTTCGCATGGCTTCAGGATCCCTGGCGCCACAATGCCGTCGCAGGACTTGGAAATACGGTATCTGCTGCTGGTGCGCCTCGTGAAGAACACGTCGCACCATTCCGGGTGAACGATCCGCATCGGAATGGAGGAACTTGTCCAGACCGCGGAGGAAAACGAACCACTCGAAGCCGGCAGAGCGTGCAAGTGCCAGGCAGTGATTCACTTGCTGTGTTTCCAAACAAATATTGCTGAGATCCCTTCGCCAGAAGTCTTGGTTAAGACCATGGACGCGAACACCCATCCGATGGGAGAAGTTGCTGATGTAGGTCAATCGACCATTTTGATGCAACGCAGCGGGAGCACCTTTTAGCAAGAGAGGCTCAAGAGAACCATCCAAATCATATAGAAAGACGTGCTCCAGGCCCATCATTCTGTGATATGTCAGCCAGTCGTCCAGCAACTGTGAGATCTTCACAGCCCCAAATACGGGTCGAACGCAAAAGGCAATATTCTGTCGTGTTTTGGGTCGCTGGTATGGACAAACTTTGAGCTGAATCGGTTTGGAAAATACTCCGTCCAGCTCTCGCAGCTCCAAAAAAAGGTTGGGATCCGCAGCCCTTCCACCCAGCCACTTGGGCAACACCCGCCACGGTAAGCGACATCGCAGTACTGTGTGCAGCGCCGGTTCGGTGGCATGCCCCGAGCCAGTAGCAGCCATCCATGACATGCCACCAGCCCCACAGCTGAAGCGCAGGTAGTTGGAGGCCTCCCAGGTAGCACACTGCTCTCGACATGCCACACCTTCACATGGCTCCAGGACGGTGGGTGCCTGCAACTCCGGAATGAATCACAACCATCACAGCCGGTTGGGGAACCCCTGGCGCTCTGACCAGACGTTGAACTTCGGTAACCGATACAGGGAAGGACAATGGGTAGAGGTAGCTATTTCCAGTTTGGGTTTGTCTCAAACCATGGGATTTTGTGGGATTTTGTCCATAGGTCAAACTCAAAAGAACCTGACGACTTCCATGGTGCCTGCAACTCCCCAACCTGAAGGTGAAGTTCCATCTCCACCCCGCAGCCCGGAAGCTCCCTCGCGGTGGCGGCCAAAGTCATGGCTTCCAAGTGACCTGGGAAGACCACGGTGTAGTCGGCATAGCCGTCCCTGGGTGCAGCTACTGCATCCAACGGACACAGCGCGGCGGCCAAATATTCGCGTGCCATGGCCGCGCCACACGGAGAGGGCTGTGGTCTCCTGCGCCCAACGTGCCCAGTGCGGCCGCGCAGGGTATCACTGACAGCTTGCCACCAGGCGATCTGAGGAGGCACCAGGAGATCCAGAAAGCGCTTCGGATGCGGCATCCCAGAGCGGAGGCATTGCAGGATGTTGCTGGTTGTACCTCAGCGGTCCGAGTTATTCCCGACTTGGACATTGCTGATGAATCAATAGCAATGTATAGAGAGATGGTTCACCTACGATGCAAGATTGTGGCAGGTCACGGCAAAAAATAAATATCCATTCCCTGTGGAGAATAAAGTCTTGCACCTCCAAATTATCACAAGTCCCCCCATCCTCGTTGGTTTTTAATACAAATGATACAAATGGCGGCTTTACATATTATATTTATATTTCTACTATTTTCTACTTGCATATGTCACCAAAAAGTGGCTTACACTGACACTACTATCACTATCCATTGTCCATTGTGCACAGTATTTCAAGAAGTTCTGAGCAGGCACCTCGCTGCCTGCATTGCCGCAGCTCGCTGGGCGACTTGCGCCATTTGGCCGTGCTGTTGCATGAAGGCAGCCGTTCAGCACAGCCGAAAGCCCAGGGGCGTTGCTGGCAGTAGAAGTCATAATCTAAAGCTGTTCCCGACTCCTCAGCCACTGGACACAGAAGGCTGGAGAGTTTGGCCATGGCATCAAACAAGAGCAGGTGCCATTGAAGCCCCTTGGAGTCCTTCGGAAGCAACACTTGTGGCTGGAAAATGAGCTGCAAATCCTGCTGCATGGGTATCTGCAGCATATGAATGGGCCTTGCCTTCAGTTTCAGGATATCTCCATGCCAATCCCTTTGAAAGGTCAGGATGCAATGCGCCAGCCGACTGGCCGCCACGGCCACAGGGCACCAAGGCTCCTCCTGGCGCTGGGTCCAGCGGAGTGTCGCCAGAAGGCTTTCGTCGTTGTCGTTTTCCGCGAGGCCCAGGGCCGCGGCGGTGGACGCCCAGAGACGTTGCCACCGCAGCGAGTCGCAGTCCCACGACCAGGTCGACAGCGACTGCGAGGCGTTGCTCGAAACAGCCAGTGACGCCAGTGACGCCGACGCCGGAGATCTGAAAAATTCTGGCCTTGAAACCACCATGGCAGGATTTCATCGATTCGAATCGCAGTCCTAGATGAAAGTGATTGCAGTCTGCTTAAGCATCGGTTGTCCTCCGTGTACCCAGTGTCAGTTGGATCTTTTCATGGACGCACTAGATGAAGTCTATACTGCATACTAATGCAGTCTCCTACAACCTCTCCATCTCACTCTCGCTCTCTCTCTCTCTCTCCTCTCTCTCTCTGTGGACATTTTGCGCTTCCCTCTCCCGATTGCAAGTGTGTGCACTGCTCAATCTTTGAATCTATTGCCGCCTCACTCTATCGGCATAGGTGTTGTTCCACATATTCTGTTTGACACTGACCCTGATCCAGAAGTCCCACATCCTGACTCTACAGTTTGCCTAAACAGAAATGGTTCAAACCCTTGGTATGTACACTGGTAAACATCAAATAGTTCACAGATGGATGCTCATCCCAAAAATCTGATATCCTAGTTTTTCACCCGTCCCATATCCTATGATGTCATGTTTCTTGTCTGTGAAGGCATCTTCTCCGCCTTCCTACGGACAACGGTTCAACACTGGCTGCGGGCGATCATCATGACAGCTGCGAAACATCCACTGCGCTGAAGTGCGACACCGATTCTTCATGGACGAAGAACTTGAAATCCCAATTGGTCCCATCATCAACCACCAACCGCACCAACCGCAAGGCCTGGGGCACTGCACAGGGCTGCAGCACACTGCAGCCCCGCATTTCCAGTGGAGCCCCGCAATCTGCTCGTGTAACGCTGGCCACACCACCGAAGCCTTCCGCGCAACGCCAACCTGTGCCGTGGAAGATTGGGATGTGGGGAAGCGTGGATACTAGAAGGGTCTGGGTGAAGAGAAAGCGAATTGGATACCCTGAAAGGAATGGTTGGATTCAAGTCAAGAACATTCTTTGATTTAACTTCATGTCCTGGAAACAAGCTGGGTTGTGATCGGTGTGGCTGACTATGTATATACTAAGCTGTTGTAAAGATGCTAAGCTCTTGTAAAGATTGGTATGACCAGGTTATTTGTTGCCAGTTCAATGTTCAACCAGGTCAAAGGTATGGTCAAAACTGCGGTGGTTTTTCTTTAAATGTCCCGTCCACGGCCACCTTCGCTGGTGCGCATATACCCAACTGGCAGATCATCGCAGGATGCTCGACACTGTGGCATCTGCGGGAGAAGCGGCCTGGGGGCTGCATGAACGACTGGCTTCCAACTTGTGTTCCCTGGCTGTCATGGAAACAAAGGAAGGAGAAGCTTCCAGAAGTTTCCAGGTGCTGGATCCAAACGGATTGTGCTGAGTAGATACTGGTACCAAATTCGCTGTGTGTCATGTGTTGGGAGGAAAAGTCTCGCCAGCTCCAAATATGCCATCGTTGACCTAGAAGGGTTTTGCAATGTGGGCATTCACACCCCTCTTGTTTCATCAACCTTGTGTATAAATTGCATATGTTCGGACACCAGAAATGATGCTCGGCTACATCCCTGTAAAATGCTTCAGTTTACATCCCATGTGTTCGTCATTCAAAGTCTCAATTCTTGCTCTATCAGTTACCCTCTGGTAAACTAACAGAGCTATGGGAAATCACCATTTTTCATAGCTAAGTCAATAGCAAAGGCCATGTTCAATAGCAAACTGTTAGTTTACTGTTTCGGGTTCTCCCATCCGCCGCCTCATTGGATCGACATTGTCCTCGGGGCAATGGGCAGTGCCTTCAAGGCCCTCGTAGGGCTCGCGGCAGAAGATGCGGCAGCTCTCACCCGGAACAACGGCCTCGGTCATAGGGATAGAAAAGGGGACGAAAAAAAGTAGTTCTATGCAGTTCTAGATAGGTGATTATAGTTAGTTATAGTTGAATGTAGTTGATTGCAGTTGATTATAGTTGATTATAGGTCTATATTGTACATATGTATATATATATATAGTTGATTAGTTGATCATCTAGTTTTACTAATTATGTCTGTCTGTGCTAAATCTTCATCCCATATCCCTATCTATAAATACGTTATAGATTAATATAGAGGTAGAGATATGGATATGTATATATATACTATATTATATATATATATTATACATATACATATATATATATATGTGTGTGTGGAGATAGTAAACTGTAGATGTAGGTTGCAGATTGTAGATTGTAGACGATTCTGCAGAGCGTACGCAAAGCGGATGTGCTTCCATGAAGGAAGAGCTATCGCGAAGCTTCCCGGCAAGGATCCAATCAAACCCTACACACTGAAACTCTTATCTGCAGGACGAGTCAAGGCACATTGCTGTGTCTCTGTATATGTGGTTGGACTTTAAAAATTGGTGTCCAAAGGTCAGAGGGAAACCACCTTCCTTGCAGGCCACTCTCTTGTCCACTGACTTCCTGATCCTTTTCATTGGTCAAATCTTGAAGTGCTACAGTCTGGCCCTTCCTTTCTTCTCATCAGTGCCTTTGGGCAATCTTTTGGTCATCTGAAGCAATCGATGTCAAAGGTTCCTCCACGCTGAATTGCACAACGAGAATCTGTGCAGGCCGACACATCCATACGGCAGCTATCCTCCTCGTTCACCTCTAACCTCAGCTGAGATCAGTTGAGGAAAAAAAAGTGATTCCGATTGCGAGTACATCATGTGGCAAGGAGAACTCAGGATCTTTTTTCCCAGCCATCTGAAAAAAAGGGCCAAGTTTATGTCATCCTTCACTGCCAAGGATGGCCGTGGTGCCGGGGCACGGCAGACATGGCACCTTCCGCTTGCAGCCTTCAAATCGAACCTGAACGGTGAAAACTTCAGGGCAACACGGCAACACTGGGACAACCGAATTTTCACAGCTGATGGATCTGCCGCCCTCCCAGAGCTTCGCAGGTTGAAAATGAAGTTTCAGTGGTGCAAATTCCAAACCTTGGTTGATCCTTAAGTTGTTCAGAAATAGCCCCAAGGATCCCCCAAGAATCCCCCCCAGCCTGGAATGAGCAGTTGGGAAAATGGATGCAGCTGCGATTCACTTGGCCCACCCAGCCATCATCGCATCGAAAGACCGACAGACCACCTCGGCGATCTGGTGCGCTTGTCATGTGTGGATCAGCATCCCATGTCCAAAAATGAAAGAATAAAACCAGCAAGCAGAAATTGTACTGGAAACCATGAATTAAATTTATGAAGGTCTGAATGTTCCTTTCATCCAATTCAGGGACTTATCAGGAGCTGTCCAAGAATGTAGGGGAGGACCAAAATGAACTCTCCGGAGACAAACCCAAATCTGGCTTTCCAGGTTATGATGTTCTGTCCACCAGCACATGTCCTGGGACTTCTTGGGCCCATCTTCAACTCTCAAGTCCTTCCTCCATGTGGATGCGATCTTCAGACTCTTCGGGTGGTCCCAAGCATTATGGATGCGTGATGAGGAGCACATCAGGGGATTTATTGTGCAGTCTTTCTTCCCAGAAAATCAACTGCAAGAATCTCAAATGTCCAGTTTGTGACACGGCGTGTTCACTCAACATGGCATGTGCTTCGCCAGCCCGCCAGGGCTAAGGTGTTTGGGGAAACAATGCCGAGCAGTTGCATCATCCCTGTGGACACATGCCAAGCCACTGAATGTGATCTCTTGCTTGTAACCTTCTGGTAGCATCGGTGGATCAGGACAGGACAACAAACAGCGCGGCAGCTGGGAGTAGATGGGCTCCAAGTAGGGATTCATATTCTCAGCCGGACATCCTGAGGCTCCAAGAGGATTGATCAAATGAGTTGATTTCGGGTGACATTCTGGTGACATTCTGGTGACATTCTGGTGACATTCTGGTGACTGGATTCTCCCATTTTTTCTGACCAAAAATGGGGATATATGATATATATATTGATATATGAGTATGGGGATTCTCCATTTCATCATTTATGGTATCTCCATGTTTTTCAGCTCCAAGGCACGGGCGAATTGAGGTACACCCCCATCCACAAAGGGCGTCAAGCAGCTGACTTGACATCGACCCCCAGGGGCCACGCCTGCGATCCAAATGTTCCAGAAACTAACTAGTTATAGTATGTGATAGTATAAGTTATAGTAATATTACCCAAAGTTAGTTAGTTATAGTTATAGTAACTATTCTAACCACTTTGCGAAGCGATCTAACTAGTACTCTCATGTTTTACCCAAGGAAACTATGGTTAGTTAGTTGTTACTAGTTGTTACTAGTTGTTACTAGTTGTTATGGTTAGTTATTACTGGTCTGAATACCTTGAGCTGCAAAGCTGAACCTGAGTATAAACGCGAACGAAACTGCGTTGCGGCTTCACCTACTATGCTATAACCACAAGTCCATCGCTTCAACATCTTGTACATCCACAAGTGTTCGCAGGCGTCGATTGGGTTGCCTTGACAATCCGTCAGGTTCAACTCACATTCGTCAGCTTCGGGTGGCAGCTGCAAATCCGCACAGGGCATCAAACGATAACACCTCAACGGGTCGTGGAAAGGGTGATGCAAACACCTGCCCGTTGATCGGGCTTCCTCACCTGTAGGGATGGGGAGCCGCTAGGCATGATGCGACCTTATCACATCAGTTGACCCTGTTCCAAGCAGAAAATAAACAAATTCTGTCAGTTCTGCGGGCCGGCGAGATGTTAAATTTTCCTGAACTATCCTGAACCCATTGGCACCTTCTACTGAAAAGAAATCACAGGATCAAAATGTTTTCATGCCGTACAGTACCAGGTAGTACCAAGAAACATCCAAAATTTCAGTGACCTCCTGAAAAGCCACAGGCCTGCCCCATTGCCACCAGGGAGCCCCCGAAGCTCTACTCTTCTTTGACAAAACGGCAATCCATCATAGACGCAAATTAATTTGGCCTCGCCCGAATAGCCTGGCAGGACAACGTCTGAAACCTTGACCCATCACTTGGTGGCTGTGACACGCAGTTTTGGGGTGCAGGGAATACCCCAAGCATACTCTACCTCAACGTATCTCAACGTACAGCAACCTGGACCTGGCAAGAATGAAAGCCGTGCTGTTCATGACTTTAGACAGCATCTACCCATCTCTGACCTCCCAACACTAAAACTCCCCAAATGATTGCAAGTCTGGGCATATGTGGGCCACCTTCCTCGCAGCGCCATTCACCGCTGCGATTGGTGTAGCCATAAGGAATCGGCTCTGGTACCGGACAAGGCAACGAGCAATTTGGCTCGGACAGTCTCAGCGGCTCACCTCAGACAAGAGCCCCAGTTTTCCGGGGCGTCTCAAGAGACTTTGGGCTCGGGCCGACTCACTGATGGGAGCCAACTTTGCTCCTAGTTGAGTGTTCCATGCCCATGTTCGAGAGTCTTCAAGGGCTAATCATTTAATGACACTTACGAGCGCCTACAGCCGCTGTGCCAAGGTACGATTGGGCTCTGTATTGTCGGCTGGACACAGCACCTGGAGACCGAGGGAATCTCCCCTCGCGGAGGGCCCCCTGGGACAAGATTCCCATGGCACCAATCAGCTATTTGTCAAGATGCGTTTAGCCGCCATGATTGTTACCCTCTGGTAATTTAACGTAGCTATTGAACATGACCATTAATAGTGGATTTTCCCATTAAAAATGGTGATTTTCAATAGCTATGTTAAATTACCAGAGGGTACTTCATGTTACTTCTATTCTCATGGTTGTTTTCTCTTCACTCCAAACCAGTGTCCCCTTGACCCCCTGGCTATGCTCTTACCATTGTTGCCGTTGCTGTTGCCTTCCCACCTCCTGAATTCAACCCGTCCCAAAACGTGATAGGTCAAAGTGGGATCCTCATCTCAAGTATCGTCGGACGTCTTTTCAAAAAATCCGACTATCTCTCGGTAATGGTTGGTAATGAGAATTCCAATATCTGCCACCCCAAATCCTAATACCATCAGATGGATTCATCATGATTCATCCATATCTCTGGATGGTTTTCCCCTCAAAAACCAGAAAAAAAAAAAACTCATCCCACCTCCAAGCCGGGGCCCTCAAAAGGCGCCAGGCAATTCACTCGACAGCTTTGGCCGGGCGAGAGCTCGGCACCTCGAGCGTGTCACCACTGGGATATGAGGCCCCTACAACTACGGTGTGGTATATCGGTTTATAAATGGAACTGGAATTTCAAGGATACTTTTGTTTTGACATGAAATCTAACCCTCACAAACGATCTCTTACAACCTTGTCACTGCGCCAATCGCGGGGAAAAAATCTGGCAAATCTAGTTTTGTACCATCGAAAGACTCCGTTCATGTAGATTCACGCTTGAACCAATTCAGGGACATTGATGGCATGTTGATGGAACAAGTTAACTTCAAATGAAAACAAACAACATATGGCATAGTTCTGGATTCTACTCCGAAAAATGAAAATCTGTGAAATTTCATGCTAGGACAAGGCACACTTCTGATAGTCCTGAGCACCAGGACAGGAAAGCTGGACGGGACTGGGAGTGGTAAGACATCTCTGCAGAGTCGGAAGTGTCGCTGCAACTTGGATGTTTGACTGACTACTAATCATCACTAAAGGCTGTACCCGAGGTCACCCTGAGGTCATAAAAATGGACCCAACTCATGCAGGACCCCCCCCACAGGTGTAAATTGGCTTATAATCCATCCATACATCCACCATAGATCCAGCCGGTGACCTAGTTCTAAACCAACTTACCAAAGCTGGTTAGCAGATTTATGAACCCAACGGACTATCCACAATAAATCCAATCACTATAGCAAGCCGGCGTGTTTTGTGGATGTTTTTGGTTACTTTTAATTTGAACTATAGATTGCGCAGATTTTTGCGTTGTTTGCGTTGCTCCGGCTGGGTATAGCCTTTCAGTTGAGGCTTGGTACACCTTTGGTTGAGTCCGAGTTTTACACTATCTCCTGTCCTTGTTTGTGCCTACGCCCCGAAAACCGTACGAGTAAAACGCAGGTTTTTGACGTTTCTCATATGGGGGGGTTTGGGGGGGGTGGGGGGGTGTGATAACGTTCTTGGCGTCTGTCTCTAGATGATCGTCTTTCTTCTATGACGGCATGCAACGCTAGCACCGTCTCACGTACTTGCTGGCACGCCTTGGATGCTATGCTAGCACACGTCTCTTATGAACGTCTCTGCACATACTCTTGTGAAATGGGTTTGGGGGGGCGTGGGGGGGTGTGATAACGTTCTTGGCGTCTGTCTCTAGATGATCGTCTTTCTTCTATGACGGCATGCAACGCTAGCACCGTCTCACGTACTTGCTGCCGCGCCTTGGTGCTATGCTAGCACACGTCTCTTATGAACGTCTCTGCACATACTCTTGTGAAATGGGTTCGGGGGGGTGGGGGGGTGTGATAACGTTCTTGGCGTCTGTCTCTAGATGATCGTCTTTCTTCTATGACGGCATGCAACGCTAGCACCGTCTCACGTACTTGCTGGCACGCCTTGGATGCTATGCTAGCACACGTCTCTTATGAACGTCTCTGCACATACTCTTGTGAAATGGGTTTGGGGGGGCGTGGGGGGGTGTGATAACGTTCTTGGCGTCTGTCTCTAGATGATCGTCTTTCTTCTATGACGGCATGCAACGCTAGCACCGTCTCACGTACTTGCTGCCGCGCCTTGGTGCTCGTTGCTACAAAAGAATGTCCTCAACCTTGAACCTTCTTCATGGTGCGGTGAACCATTCAGCTGGCCAGTTTACTGGTGAACTGAGACGAGGAAGAGAAGTCGTTCAAGTACATACCGGAACAATTGACCAAGTCTGGACTGGGTGCAAAGCATTCATTCCAAAACAGCTAGGAAGCCAGTCAGAATTGATTGAGGTTTACTTGCGCGCGTTCCAGTGGAGGTATGTCAATCGCCTCACTCTGATTCGCACGAAGACAATCAACCAGCTCAACTTGCTGCGAAAGTGAAGAAGAAAACAAAGTGCGCAGTCTGTGTTGTGATGGCTGTCATTGGGAAAACAGCACTTTGAAGAAATGCATGAACGGCACCACAGCGAGAATGAAAAAAAAAAGTAAAACCACTCTAAATGCGTACTGATTTCGACAAATTTTGGACAGAAATGATGATGAATGTGCCACGCAGGCCACGTTTTCTCTTTCCTATTTTGATGCCATGACACAGATTGTGCGGGCAGAGCCTATTCCAAACGATGTTAAATTTCACATAATTCTCGGTCAAAATTGGATGAAGACACAAGCGAAATATGATTTTGTCCAAAAACACCACCCAATTTCCACATCATTTTGTGCATGCTGCACAAAAACACTTGATTTTTCCCACACGAAATAAACTTTAAGTGATCCTGATGATGATGAAATTGAGCAAAACGCACGTACGGAAAACGGCGCGACGGGTTGCTTGTGTTAAAATTTTGTTTTTTTGTTCAGATTCTTCTAGAAGTAGCTCCCTAGTTTTAACTTCTTCTGGTTTGCGATTGAGGTCTAGTTCCAGCTAGGGTTATTGTTTGGTTTTGTTCTAGTTTGAATTCGGGTTCTAGTCCTTGCTAGGACAGTACCTTGCTCTTTTTCAAGCTTTAGACTTTATCCTAGCCCTAGCTCCAGCAATGGCTTGATCTTGTTCTAGCTTTAGGTTGAAATTTAGTTGTAGCTCTAGCGATAGCTTTAAGTTGAAATCTACTTGTACCTATAGCTATAGTTTTAGGTTAAGATCTAGTTGTAGCATGTTGTAGCTAGACCTGAAATCTCCTCTTCGATGGATCTTTGCTCTGGCTGCCCTACCTCCCCCCTCCCCCTTTCCCCCCTGCACATATATACTATAGTCTGGTCTAGTCTAGTCTACTGTTCTACTGTAGTCTCAAACATATAGTCAGTCAGGCAAACTAAACATTGACTTGATTTACATCATCATCGTCTAGGTGTTCATCCTCATCTTTATCATCGTCATCATCATCATCATCATCATGATCATCGTCTTCTATTTTTCTTTCTCTTCTTCTTCTTCTTATTATTATTATTCTTCTTATTATTCTTCTTTCTTCTTCTTCTGTTCTCTTCTTTCATCCTCCTTCATCATCACATCTCCGTCTTGTCTTTCGTTGCTCCGGCTCGCCCCTGGGATGCGGCATTTTTCCACGTTTTCTCCACGTTTTCTCCACGTTTTCTCCACGTTTTCCCCACGTTTTCTCCACGTTTTCTCCACGCTTTACTGCCCGTGCCAAGCAGAAGTACGTTCTAACATGCAACTGTTGAGCCAACCACTTTCCATAAGCACCTGCAACTCCTGCCCTTCCTCTGCACTCACGGCCTTCTCCGCATGCACTCTCACAGCCATGCCCCTTGGATCTACCAACTTGAATCCTTTCTGTTCAATCTCCTAGGTCTTGCACAAACCAGCTTCTACACAAACCAACTTTTCTACCAACCAGCTTCTACTACGCAAACCACCTTTTGCACCAGCCAACTCTTACAGAAACCACGTTTACACCAACCAGCTTTACACAAACCAACACTCAGACACACCCGCTTTTACACAAACCACCTTTTACTGCACCAACCAGCTTTTACAAGCCAGCTTTTACACATATCTTGTTTTTACACAAACCAGCTTTTACTCAAACCACCTTTTACACCAACCAGCTTTTACAACCCAGCTTTTGCACACACCACTTTTTAGACAAACAAACCTTTTATATACAACAACCAGCTTTACACAACCCCTGCTTTGGGCCTGGAGGAATGCTGCAGGCTGTTAAAAAAAACCAACTGACCCAGTAAAAACCGATCAAAATCCATTTCAAACCCATATTTTGCTGCACCATCCAAGGTTCCAAGCGTGGACACTCCTGGTCCTGCGAGCGCAACTTGCAATGATTGTTTGATTTTGGTAATGGGAATATGATTAGCACCGAAAGTATCCACCAACACGTGCTCAATCTTAACCAACACTTCTGGAGAGGTGTGTGTGTGTGTGCGTGTATATATATATATAGTATGATGTATGAAGTGTTTTTTCATACTGGGAAGCTTAGCCATCAATTGGGATAAAATGGGATATAATTGGATATATGCATATGTATGTAGTCAAGGATGTTATATTTGAGTTTGTCTCAACATAGGCTATCCTCAATTTCAAAGGATTAAAACTCCATTTTGTCCATTAGATTTTGGGCATACCCATTTTGGCAAACCCAAATGGCCCAAATTTGTAGTTCCCGGGATCCGGAGTCTTAAACTCTGAACATCTCTGAAGCAACGTTTGACAGAACGTCTTGTTCAATAGCAAGCATGTCTTTCCGGGCACCAGGTTACTCGTTCTGTCACAAACAGAATCAAGCCAAAGAAATGCAAGTACGCCTTGTTCTAAGCACCCTGATGGCTTTCCTGTAATTTTATTCCTCTTTTGAGAAGGATAGGTACAGGAGAGGATAGGGACATCAGGGACCCGAACCAGGCAGGTCTTTACCCTGAGGGATGCAAAGCTTCTTAGATGTCTACTGGAATTAGTGGTTGTTTACTGGTGTCTACTGGCATATCTAACCAATAATGACCTACAATATGATATGTGGGTGTGTCCAAAAATGGGGTACAGTATGGTACAGTACTATACCCCCAGTAGCAACTTGAATCGGGGTGCTGGTGATAAAGTATTGAGTTTAGGGGCACCCAGTTTTCAGTAAAACCCGTCACTATCAACCCTCCACTCTGAGAGAAAGGTTCTTGCTTAGTCATCTTACGGCGATTCTCTTTTCCCGCTGCTTCTGTTCCCTTCCCAGCAGAACAAAGGTATGGGAATCTTGAATCCGGCAGAAAGTTTGTCTGCACCCACCTGAAAGGGAGATGAGCCCAGGAGAACAGTCCTCAAGAAGTTCACAAGATTCGAGACGTCGGCATCCTTCCACTTCACTTTGTAGGGAACATTGCGGGCCAACCAGGCTACATCTGCGGGTCGGAGTACCTGTCCACACCGCCATTGGGCCGTTTCAGATGGATTTTGGTCGCGCTATTAGGTACTCAAATATGGGATGGACTTAGATCCCCAAGACGAGCAGCCAATTTCCGGGTCACAAGGTCTTAAAGGTTGACCCATACCGACAACTTCATGCTCTTCTCTTGGGAGCATTCACCCACACCCAGCATTCGCGCCTTCGTATCCCGGTGCGCAGTAGACAGTGCCTCCAATAGGAATGCGAGATCCACTGATGGTATTGCAGCCCTTCACAATAAGATGACTTAACCTCTCGTAAGCCAGGCCAGATTGAAAATTAATAACGACCTCTTGACCAGATGGTTTTTAGAGCTATCAACATAAACTTACAGGTGCTTAGTAGGGAATGGGGGGAATGATCCATAAGAACTATGAACAATTATCCCATTGCCCCATTCCCAACGTTCAGCACCAGTGAAGGAGTCTTCCCTTCATTTCAACTGTACACCTGCGGCGTCGCGGACGTAGCCCTCGGGTAAGGTCTGCGGATACGGACACTCGCTGAAGCTGCAGTTCGGCGGCGTCCAGTCCTGGCGATGCTGAGGAGTTTTTCATGGGAGTAGAAGTACCAATGACATTACCATTGGGATAGATCGTGGGATAGATAACGGGGATATTTTTCATGGGGATAGCAACTACCCAACGAAACTGATGGTATCGAGTATCGACAAACGGGGGTTCAACTGGGACACTGGAGAGATGGACTCCGGAAACCTGAACGGGGCCTGCCAAATATGGCAGGCATTCTTTGCAAAACTGCACAAGCAAATTGACGGTCAACCCCATGAGGATCAAATTTTCGGTCTGTAAGAAGTATATATGTTTGGAATTGCTTGGATGCGTTTGATAATCTCGAGATACATAGATATCTAGCTAGATAGACTAGATTAGATTGAGATTAGATCAAATGGGGTCAGATGACAAGACGAACGGACACCAAGGTGCATAGATTCAACCAGATGTTTCCAGTCCCACTTTGGATCAAAAGGACATGGTGGAATCCGAAGTCAAGTTTGCTGCTGCCAAAAACTTCCCCAGTAAATCAATATGCAATCATTTCCACCCGCCGGGTCCAGCAGAAAGCCCTCCACCGTGTTGTTTGCTGCGCACTTGGCGAAGGTTGCCTCGCCCTGGTAAGGTTCCTGAACGCTGCGGCTGGATAAAGGGATGGAGATTGGTTTATTTCGAGAAAATGAGGCAGTTCACCCAGAATTGGAGGATTCGACCCAGCAAGAATTTGGGACTTGAAGTAATTTTGTTTGGATCTGCCGCACCAAATTCTGGGATTTGATCATGATCCACCCAAGCAGTTTTCCAACCAGCAGGACCATTGGGGGTTTGCCGTGGAGTTACCGACTTTGAGGCCCCAAATGCTGTGTAAATGAAGACTTCCTAAACAACTTCTGCAAGAACTGCAGGAATTGTTGGACCCACGGCCGGGACCTTACACTGGACCTTGCAGATCGCGCCGGAGGGAAGATATCCGCATCCTGGACAAAATGCAATAGGTCAGTGGCTTTGTCCAAAATGGGGTAATAACTCGGAGGAATACAATTCCAATGGATAAAACCTCATTTCCCCCATGTTTGGATGGCGACGTTGTTGCTTTTGGCAGCACGCTTGGGCCAAGTAGTTCAGTAGTTGCAGGAAGGATGACGATTCGTCAGCCCCTTCACACTTCACATGCGTTGCTATGTTCAGGTCATGATGGTTAACCGGCTACTGATTGGGATCACAAGGTAGGGCTTGCAGCCAGGCCAAAACGCTTCCAGTGGAGGCAAGCACATTCCTTCCAACTATTCCAACTCCCTTCTTTGACAATTGCTGAGATCCAACTCCATTTTTCTCACATGGATTTGGTGCAAAAAAAACAAAAATTCTGCAACGACCTCCCTGGCTCCTGACAGATCGTAGATGCAAAGATCCACCTGGCGTCAGTACTAGGTGCTCCTTTTTTGCGGAAAATAAATGCCATAAAATCATGGTATGAATATAAGGAATATTGTAAAAATCAGAAAATAGGCCATTGGGAATTATGCTGTAAATAGAAGGGAATGCTAAATTGCCCCTGAATTGCTTGGTATAATGTCTCTGAAATATCGCTATGAATATGCACAATCTCCAACAGAATAGCCATCAACGTCGAACCATGGAAAATGTTCATGGGGATTCACCCGCCAAAAGTGAACCCCCCAATAATTGATCTTTAAAAATTTGCCCCCACACTAGTGGTCGTCAGTGGTCAATAAGGCCTCAATATATCCTAATTATTTGAGGTGTCACCTTTTGGAGGGACGGTTGAATAGTATTGAATGGTTAAATCATTACATGCATATCCCTTTTTCATAGGATCCGTTTGGGTGTGTCTCAAACATTTCTTTATTCCCGAAATATGATATGTTCATAGGAGAAATGACAACTAAACCATTTTCATAAATAATTTTCATAGGGATGTGCAAATTTGCGGGGTTCTAAAGTCACGGGGGATTCCCAAACCCATGGTTTTCAATAGCCATGGTCGCATGACTGGATGATTTGCGGGGCACCTCTGGCACTCGGCAGGGCAAGCACAGCGCGGGCGGTGGGACCGCATCCGTCGGTGGAATCTCGGGGCACTGGGCCGCCACAAGCAACACCTGGCGAGGGGTTGTAAAATATCATTCCAGACATGTGTATGCCTATAATTTGTTCATATGTGTATATATATATGTGTGTGTATATATTTGCATTTATATATATATACACATGTAAACATATGTTATCTATATGTGTAAATCTATGTCCCAGTATAATGAATATAATATATATATATATATACACGTATATGTGCACGCAAATACAACATAGATAGATTAGATTGGATTGGATTGGACTGGATTAGATTGTATGAAATCGATCAGATCAGATCGGACTAGATTTAAATCAAACTAGATTCAGATTAGATAACACCAAGACATGAAAGTAGAGTGGGTTTGGATTAGATTAGTTTAGATAACATTGGATTAGATTAGATAGACAAGATAAACAATATGATACAATAGCAAATGGATAGAAGATGAGAAAAAGAACTAAGGTCAAATGGATAGATAGATCGCCAGACTAGATTAGATTGGATTGGATTAAACTGGATTAGGTTAGGTTTGATTTTTTTGCACATGCCGCAGTTGGAGGCTGGATCACAATACATATAAAGTGATACGCTTGAGGTCAGGTTAGACTCGACTCCATAGGATTAGAATGACCAGATTAGATGAGATTCAACTAGGTAGATAGGCAAACACAGAGAGACACGCTGATAGATAGGTCGACAGATGAAAAGATAGATGGGTAGATAGATAGATTGCTCCCAGGTACATTCAGACATTGATAGATTGATGGGTAGCTCGATAGAATGTTGTTTGAACATTTAAAGCGTGTTTATTTTTTTTGCAGATGTAAAAAAAGTACAATGTTTTTCCTTGGATGTTGGGGTGCCGATCACGGTTCCAATGAATGGTTATTGTTCTTGTTTCTGTTTTTCAGGCTCGCACTAGTCATAATCACATCTCACAAAATATAATACATACCCCAAGTTTATCCAATAATCCCCAATACCGTCCGGGATTGGGGATGAAAACCATCAGGCATGCCCCTTTGTCAGCCAGTTTATCCCAACAATCATGGGCATCTTCTCCACTATGTTTGGTCAATATGAAGTTCTCCAAAATGTCATAAGGCGCACTTCTCAGGCTTCATCAGTATCCGATTAGATGCAACACACCCTCTCATAATCTAACACAGCTGTGGCAAATTTGTTCATTTATGGATGATTTGCATTGATTTACAATGATCTACCTATTTAAAAAATTTGAATTACATAAATTTACCTATGAAAAATTTGTTATTTTCCAGAAAAAACTGTAAAAAATTACCGGAGGGAAACCATCAGCTTTTTGAAAATCTCAGTTCCATGGCTCCATCGACCTGTGCGAGGAGACCTGCGGAGTACATAAGGCCTGGGCAGAACGAGTCGGTCACCCTTGGATTCCCTATGGCATGACAGCATGATATTGCAAAAGATGTTGGTATAAAATGGTATAAAATTGTACTGGAATTTGATGTCAGACTTTGGGTCATAGATGTTTTGGTGAAATGAAGTGTGCTGATCTACCAAGACTCACGGTACTGTCATGAAACTGCGTACATGGTGAATGGTATTTTTGGTTTTAGACTCATCTGCTTTGCATCCATATTGCACTTTTCACCGAACACTGTGCAAAAGATCTGAAGTGACATGGTTTGGGTTTTAAAACAGTGTAATCAAACTAAAGCCGTGATCCACAACGATTTTGGGAATACCACTATTTGAGTTTTGCTGAATGGTTGAGGATTTTACCTCTTGTGGCAAGGAGATTCAATCTCCACATCAGTATGATTCAAAAAGGTTTGATCGTTTTTATTGACCTGTGCATGTTCACTCTTTGTCACGGGCAAAAGAACAATGATATGGAAATGTGTCAAACCTATGCTACAATAATTTAGTGTAATGTTCGTAAAGCAATGGTAAACCATCCCCAAATTTACCATAAATGGGTGCTATAAATCATCAATTCATATGGGTGGCTCATGATTGCTTAAAATCCACCTAACAACTAACAACCCTTTTAACAACCATTTTCATGTGAAGTATTAGTCATCAAGGTCCAAATCTGTCTCCAAATTGTCTGCCGTCTCAGTTTTTGGCGTGAACAGCCATTCTCCAAGACCATACAGACGCAGCGGCGTTCACCCGGAAGCCGTACTTGTTGAAGTGTCACTTAAAATTCACGTTTTTTCATGGTCCATGAAATTACCAACGAAATCCTGTCACTTTTCAAAATTCCAAAAACAGCGACATGTTTCATGGTGAACGGTGTTATGTACACATGTTTAATGGTCTGATGAAGAACTGCACAAATTTCCCGTGCCAAAACATGTCCGTCGTGCATGTCAACGGCATGTCAACGGCATGTCAACCAAACAACGAACTATGAGCAAAACACGAATGGAGACGCGGCTGCATCCAATCCCAAAAATTTGCCGATTGTACGCAAAACAAAATGCCAAAAAAAACAAAGCGAATTGTTCAATTGTTTTTCCATTGTGTTCTTGCAAAGAATTGACAACATGTTTGAACCAAAATCACCGCCTGGAGGGCCCATTGACATAGTCCGTTATGTTCTGTACACCTTGTTGGTTTGAATCCATATCTGACATTGTCGGCATTTCTTACCATTGATGAGAACATTGGAAATTGATTCAAAAAAGTGACGCCCCACAAATTACAAGTTAACATATCATCGCCAAGACCATGTCCAAGCACTGGAACCTTAACTGGCATGGTGCAATGTCCAAAATATTGCTGAATAATTGGCGCAGCTGGATCAGAAAAACACCTCAACAGTGGGATGGAAATGGTTGGCTGCCATTTTCGGAGGCAAAACAGAATATGAAACCATAAATTGGAAACATTCCAGCTAAACGCAAAGATTTTGTGTTCATTGCCAGCCTGCGATCGGTCGCTGTTACAAATTCAATTTACTCAAGTGATTGACGTAGTATCGACAACTTCGTGTCCCCAGTCTGAGCAGTGTTGGCGAGAATAGTCGAATATGTCCAGCATCTGAGATTCTTCTACGAAAGCCTTACAATTCGTAGCCTTACCTTAGCTAGCTTCCCAACAAAAATCAACGCATATAAATTATAGATATCAACTGCACACACATATATACCCACATGCAAATGTAATCAAATGTATATATGTATGCCGTGTTGCCATTTATGGCTCCAAATTGGCCGATGAACCTGGTGAAACAACTAAAATCATGGTCAGAGCAGTCACCAAATGTTTTGAGAGAACGAGGGCTACCATCTACATCTGTTTTAATTAATGTGTCAGAACCATTACACCTATCACCAGTGGCACAACCCTACCTCCGAAGTTTTTCAACTTGCCTGCCGTTCACCCTGGCTTAGAGGCGTTCAAAATGGCGTCCGGTCGCAGGAGCACCGGCAGCGGTACAGCGCCGGCCCTATACAAATCAACAAAGGCCATCTCAATTACCGCTGAACGGAGTGATCACTGCGTCTGTGCATCTGTACATTTCGCACATGAACCATTTCAAAGGGCACTGGTTTTAAGAGTGCGGCAAAATCAAAAGAAGTGAAAGTCAGTGGCTGCACATCAGCAAGGTTTTAAGGTGGTCAAAATCACCAGCTCACTTAGGGATGGCACAACTAAGAATCACCACCATTAATTCCAGTTTGTTGCTGAGTAAATCAGCAAACAGGGCTGCGGGTGAGCCAAAGTATTCAATTAGTCAATGCTTCACCTTATGCGACGTCGAGTCCCAGCTTCTTCGACACCTTTGCTCTGTTCAAAAGGGGCCACTAAAAAGAAACACGCAATCCCAATATAGATTCAGTAGTTCGATTGACCATCATAAGAAAAGAATCCCAGTATTGAAGGGAAAATCGGAAAACCATAGGAAACCGCTAGAGATTTGGATGGTTTGGTAGTAGAAAGGACTAAAATCCATGGTTTGCAATACATGTTCCCTTCAAAAAACACGGCTGAAACACTGTTAAAAGCCATAAAACCATGGTTTCCTATAGATGTTCCCTTCAAGAAAACATGTTTCTTCACTTTTCCTGGCGATTTTCAGCAAATCCATGGCACATTCTCGAACACAACAGCCACAGTTGCACCCAGGCCATAGATAGCGAAGCTGACGATCAGCAACCAAAGGATGCAACTTCGAAAGCCTCCCATGGTGAAATCCATGCTGAAATTGACCAGGCCTGGACCCGGCCTGGTAAACGGTTACATAACGAACTGGAAAGATCCACCATGCTATTTCTATGGGAAAACTCCATATTTCGACTGGGCCATTGAAACAATAGCTATTTTGACATAACCAGGCCGGGTATAGGTTTTTTAAAACCATCAGTGGATTAAACAAGGGAAACTATGATGATGATATGGCTTTGTCTGAAAAAAGAAGGTTTATCCCCACGGGGGGAATTTTCAAAAGAGGAGAATGCTGATTACCCAGTTCATTTACATTACATATGTAGAGGTACTGCACAAATGTATGAACCCTCAAAGCAGCTGGGGCACCTTTTATCCGTCTTGAGCCAAAACATATCGTTAGGTGGATATAGGTCTACACATGTTATGTAGGAACCCATACCTAAACACCCCTCCTAAGTTCATGCCTTTAGCATAGAACTTCAAGCTACAAGCTGTTTCGCCTGTCTGTTCCTACCTTCTACAGACACTTGCCCCATGCGATTCATGTGGCACCACGCAGCGTCAGAAGGAAGTGGCTTCGTACACAGGTCAGACAAATTCTGATGTGTACCCACCGGCTCGACCTTCAGAGTTTTGGTCGACACTTTCTCCTGGATCCACAGGAATCTAGTCTGCACGTGTCTTGTTTTACCAAGACCCCTCCTTGACGCGATTCCTCTCGCCGCCGAACTGTCGCTCAGCAGAACCAGCTCTGTGTCGATCTTCCACTCGTCAAGCATTGCCTTCAAACCCAATCCTACTGACCCTGCTTTCACCAAAGCGTAGAACTCCGACTCTCCACTGCTGAGGGATACAGTGCTCTGCAGGTTACTACTGTGTTTCACACAGCATGAACCCAACATACACACGATCCCGGTTGTGCTGCGACGGGTCTTCAAGTCGCCAGCGTGATCTGAATCACAAAACACTCGGATGGTGTTGAACATCTTCTGGGGTCGAAACTTCGATACCACTCGCATGTGACCGGACAGATAACGTCCGAGGCGCTTGAGTTTTCCCCAAGCATATTCGGTAGGATGTTGCATGTGCCGAGCAAGTAACTTCGTTGCTTCAGCCAGGTCGGCACGATCCATTGACAGGTAAGCAGCTCGCATTGTAAGAGACCTGTATTGTGAAACTTGTTCTGGTTCCAAATCGGGCTGCTCTTCAGCCGCGATGACATCTTGAATTTTCTGCTTTTCCGCCGGTGTGCTAACCGGTTTGCAACCTTCCAAATTTAGGGCTTTCACGATGTATTCAGCATGGCGTGGATCTGCTTCATAGTCCAACACGCCAGTCGTCTTGTCATAGCTGATCACTCTATTGAGTACGCACATTGACGTACCATCTCCTCGTTCTGGACCAATCAAGCCATCCACACGATATTCAAATTTCTTCTTTAAGCATTCTTCGAGGTACTTCAAAGCTTCATCGTCACCAAGGCAAATGAAGTCATCACCATGAACGATGAAACGCAAGTCCATTTCATCATGGATGAACAGTGCCGGCCATGCTTTGCACTGTCTGAAGTTGTTCTCCGTCAGCAACTGCACATATGTAGATTGCCAGATGTTGGCAGCATCCAGCGTCCCGTACATTGAGCGTTTGAGGAGCGCGCAAGCTCCCTCTTGTTCACTGCCTTCTGGAAGAGTACAGAAAACCCTCCTCTTGGATTCTCCGTAAAAGTGCGCCCTGGAGATGTCTATCAGCATCATTTTGTAGGGCCTGTTCCTTTTGCTGGTGCGCTTTGACACCATCAACGCACAAAGCACTTTGAGAGATTCCAGCGGAGGCATTGCACTAAAGCTTTCGAACTCCGCCAGTGATTTCGATGCCTTCTTTACTTCCCGAACCACCAAGCGAGATCGATAGTTTGGATGACTGTCGTCACCCTTGTTGCGGTCCACCCACTTAAGGGTTATTGGAGGACGGTTGGTCTCCTCCCAACACATAGTGGTGGGAACAACATCCCATAGCTGTTGCTTCTCCACCCACTTCATCTCTTCCTTTCTGGCTTCCAAAACTTTCACAGGATCCAGTGGCATGCCTGTCACTGAGTCCACATAGTCGCTGACAGCCTCATCCACGAAGCTTTCGGTTTGGTCATTTGAGGTATCATCGGGTGAGGGACCCGATGTGAGCTCTGCCAAGGTACTGAGTTCGCCTCGAACTCGAAGCTCTCGCCGAATTCCATCCAGAATTGCAGAGACCAGTTTCGGTGGATAAGTCTGTGCAGCACGAGCTCTGCCATTGATCAGGTGTACATGCCTGTGTCCACCTTCACATTTTCCTTCGATACACTTTGCCATTTCAGGAGAATTGGTCAGCCAGCAGGTATCCTTCCTGACATATCCTACACCCTGCTGATCCTCGGCAACCATTTCCCACTTGCACATAGGCGACTCCACCTTGTACACTCCAGGCAGGCTTGCCAAGCGCTCGATTTCCGGTTCCTGCCAGCTTGCGCTGGGTTTCGGATGTTCATGCAGAAAGAACCTGCCATGGTTGTGTTGCTCCAAATAGCAGTCCACAGCCACCTTCAAGTGCATTCGACCTTCTTCTAAGATCTGCTGATTCTCTTCATCCGTTCTTTTGTACTTGCTGAGATTCTGAAGTGGACTGAATGGCCCACACGGAGGCGATCCGACAAGGAATAGCGGTTTCTCCTTCTTCAGGAGCCTCTTCAACTCTCGCTGATCTGTGTCCTTTGACAGATCCCAATGGTCTCCTTTCGAGTTCTTGGAAACCATCAAATCAACTGCAAATCCAGGTCGAAGACCGAAAAGGTTAGCCTTCGAAGTGAAACGCTCGGGATTGTAGATCTCGGCCACGTCGCTTTTGCTGATTCCCATGGAGCACAGCAGTTGGCTGATCTCGTAGATCTCTTTCTTGGACTCCAGTTTATGAAACATGTTGGCTTCCAAAACGGAAACCATGTCAGATTGCCCAGATCCTTGACTCTGAGCTGCCGGTGCCTCACTTCCTTGAACTAGAGGTGCTGGATCGTTAGATCCACGGGCCTCTTCTCTTTCAGCCACCTGAGCTTCTCGATGGCTCTCTTCACCTTCTCTCTTTTGTCCCCTCTTCTCCGGAGACTTCTGCCTCTTGGCTGCCCCTCCTGGGGAAGACCCTTCCTCCTCCAAAGGACGTCTCACCGGGTCCGGTCGGACCAAAGGTCCGACTCGACCCTCGGGTTGTCCAATGGCTGCGTCTGCCGCCATCTCGACAGCATCGTCTGGACCATCCCGCAGGACCAGCTCATTCGGCTCCTCCGCGTCTGCTGACGCCTCGCCTTTCCTTTTCTGAGCCTTCAAGACTCGAGCCCGTCCTTCCTCAGTCCGAAGAAGTCTCTGTTGCACCAGGGTTCGGCACTCACTATTGTGAGCTCTTGCTGGCAATCCAACTTGAATCGCATTGCAACCTTCGCATCCAGCTGTATAGTTTCCCTCCACGTCGGCTTTCTTGACATAGAGGTTCCTTGGCAGCGAATCTCGATCCGCTGGGACTGGCATCAGTCGTGCACCAGGCTCAACCGCAGGCATTGCAATCGCTATTGGTGCGTCCAAGTCTTCTGGCTTCTGTGGCCTCATCTTCCACGGAGTGCCACACATCTGATCGAAATCTTCCGTCGACCAGCGTTTCTCCTCCGGCATCCGTTTCACGCTGCCACCCTTGATCACACCATCCTTGGTCATGACCAGTGCGTCGCCATTGCGACCATGGGCCCCCATGAACATGCCTTCCCGCATCGTGTCATAGGGCCCTTCCAGATAGCTCTTCAGAGGCTTGAACCACACTCTTTCACCAAAAGTGACGGATGGTCGTTTCCACCGTCTGCCGCGAGAACGCTCATATGGCGTTCGTCCGTCCGTTCCCACTCTGAAGCGGGAGATCATGAAATCAGCATGACGACCGACCCACGCAAGAATCGGATGCCGATCTCTCACCTGAATCCCCAGCTTCTCTTCCAGGGAACTCTTCATAGCCTTGATCTGCCTTTTGGTTTCTCTAACGGCAACTTCACAAGCGCCGTTTGCCTGCGAGTCTCCTGTCTTTGACTCCTCCAAGACGATCTCAACCGTCTTGATGCCTTTCTTCACAGCCTCCTTGAGGGACTTGATCGAGTTCTCATTGTCTGACTTCAGCACCAGTCTCCTGTACCCTGACTCCTCAAGGCACTGGATGACGAAGTTCACCGCGTAGTTGTCTGCGCCCTTGGCGGGAACCACGCTGCACCACATGTAACCAGTGTACTCGTCTTTGACCTGCAACGAAGGCAATTCGCCTTCAGGCTCCACTTCCGGCCGATTCTTCGAATCCCTGCCCATCCAAAAGTAGTCCATTGAAACGATGGGCAAACCACGTTCATCTTTTCCTTGTTCAGGTTCGCTAGGATGCCGCTCATGCAGTCCACGAGCGCGCATACAGTGGCCACACCAGGTCCTATGGATGGTGTGCCCTGTTGCTTCATGCTCTTCGATTTCCTCCTTTGTTGGTGAAACCGGCGATCGAAGCAGCTTTGGCTTTCGACCGCTCTCCTCATCTTGCATTTCTTCTGGACTTACGGATTCACCTGCCTGGTGAAACCCTCGTCCATTGCTCCAAGATTCTTGCCAAAATGGCCTGACTCGTTGCCATTGACCGAGCCATTCAACCAAAGATCGAAGACAAAGATGCCCTTCTGCTCATAGAGTTGCGTAACTTGTTGGGCTTCCCCAGGGTGCTTCTTCACCAGGTCGTCATACGCAGCACGGAGTCCTTTAGCAATCTTGCCATTCTTTGGGATGATGACGCCCTTGCCATCCATGAGCATTACCACATTCTTCTTTGAGACTGCGGTGCCGCTCGCCAGCATTCGGTGGACATCGATCAACCGACCTTCAACACTTTTGCCAATGCCATTGTTGTCGTACCCTTTGACGACGACGCCTCCACTGTCGGAGAGAAGTTCACCAGAAGCTGTCTTATATGAGGCATTGTTCGGATTCTCATCGCCCTGAATCAATCCAGACTTTTCCAACTCGAGGGGCACTGCCGTGACTGCAGCGCCAGTGTCGAAGTTCACCACCAACTTCGTCCATTGCTCAGAACTTCCATGGCAACTGTTCCAACCGCCTTCAAAGGAATTGATCTCCTGCACCTTGCCGAAGGTCTTGACCACCGCGTCGTTGCGTCTCTTGATGAATCCAATTTCACGATCAACCTCAGAGTGGCCCATATTGCATCGTGCACCTCGTCGACAAAACGATCGCTTGAAGTCACTGCACATCATGCCACCCTTGGGATGATGAAGATAGAAAGCATCTTCATTCTTTGCCTTCCTTCTGCGAGCTCTAGCGGTTTTGACCCGGAAGGACCTTGCCAACTTCTTGGACTCAGTCATTGTCCGTTGACGTTTCTTGTGGATGTCGACCCGTTGTCTGCTCATGACACGCTGTTCATCAGCGCGTGTCTCAGTCTTGAACTTGGCGACTTCATCTTGGGTCAACTTCCGGTATGACCTCGGCGACCTAACGAAGACACCAGCATCCTTCCGCTTGAGATGTCCTCGACGAACCAACTTTGGCTTTCCACTCAAAACTCGGATCTTATCCTCCTCGATGACTACTGCCTCTGTCTCGATGCCTCCTAAAGTTTCGTCGTGGTACTCCTCATCCTTGACCTTCTTGCTGTCGAACTCTTTGTGCCAGGCTTCATCCAAACGTAGCTTCTCCTCAGCGCGTTCCTTGCCTCCAGATCGTCGATGAAGAGTTGCCTTACGCCGCTTCTTCTCCTCGAACCAAGCCTTTGAGTGAGAGACGCCGGCCTTCAGCGCAGCATGATATCGAGCGTCATGCCAGCTTTGATCGTTCACTGTTGCCTCAGTGAGCTTGAAGCTTCCTTGAGCCTTCTTTTCCTTTGCCTCCCTGTCGTTCTCGCGGATCTTCTCTTTGAGCTCGTTCTTGCGAGCATCAATCTCTGCGATGCGTTTCTCAATCCGCTTGTACTCGTCCTCGTCGTCACACTCTTCAAGTTCCTGGATCTTCTCACGTTTCTCCGCATCTAAGTTGGAAACTTCCAAGAGCTCCACGGTTCGATGCATCGCTTGGGTTGACGAAGTTCCGATGGGTCGAGACGGTGTTGGGAGCTCGGCCGATCCAGAGGATCGACTCGGCTCTTCCGCCTCCGGAGCCGACCGAAGACCAAAGGTCCGGTTCGCTCCTTCCATCAGCGACTTCGAGACCCTTTCGAGGAAGCCGATTCTAAGATCATTGCGATGATGTTCGACCAGCTTCAGAGACTCCGCATTGGATTCCCGGCTCAACGACAAGGGGTCGTGCTTGTCTCTCAACTCCTTCTTTTCATCCTCACTCAAACCATTGAAGTGGTCGATGGTGATGCCTTTGAAAAGACAGATTGTCTTGTCCAGGACATAGTGGAACTTCTCAGGCTTGAGGATCTTGAGATAGTCACGAACTGACTTCTTCTCAGGCTTGTCCTTGGAGGATTCTTCAACAAGGCGTTCACGTTCCAAACCACAGACTCCACACTCGTGGTCATGGTGCTTCTCATTGGAGTCTTCTGACACCTGAAGTGAAAGCAAACGTCACACGGCTCAGCGCAAGTCGAATCCTCGGACTTGACCATCACGTACTTGTCACCTTCGGGACGAACAGTCACAAAAGCTGAAGAGCTGCTCGGTCCGGCATCCTCCTCCATCTTGACGTCGTCCTCGCTCCATTCCTCCAGCATGGCAATGCTGAGGAACCCAGTGTCCAAAGGTTCGGCTTGAGGCTCTTCTTCAAGGTTTCCAACACCCTTCGATTTTCCACCTGACTTCGCCTTGGCCTTGGGTTGCTGGTTCTTGTTGGCAGCACCTCCACCGGCCGCCCAACAGTCCTTCTTGAGGTGTCCGATCTTGTTGCAATTGTGGCAAACTCGGGTCTCTTTGGATCCACTACCGGACCCTTTGCCCTTGTTGTCGGCCTGTCCAGATCCTTTGCCGGACTTGCCTTTCGGAGAACCTTTCTTGCAATCTCCTTTGCCTTTCTTGCCTTTGCCCTTCTTGCCTCCTTTTGAGAAAGAGCCCACGTCCATCGGATCACCACCAGAGGCTGAATGAGCACCAGATGCATCTCCAAGCTTCAGTCGGTGTCCAAGTCTCGTTTCCAAGAACATCACCAACTCCGCCCTGACGTCAGCGTAATCGCTGTAGCGACTGCGATTCAGTTGTAGGTGTCGTTCTATCTCTACGGGGCATAATTGCTCAAGGATCGACACCTTGATCTCGGAGTCCAACTGTTGCCGGGTGCCATCAGATCGTCTTCGTTGCTCGTATTGACGAGCATTTTCTTCCCAAGTCTCCACTGCCGCCCACAGATGATCCAACTTCGTGCATTTCTGTGGTGACAGGATTGCCCGAAGCATTGCACCACGTCGTCCACCCGTGCTAGGATCGAAGCGTCGATTCAGTTTGCGCCACGCTTCAAGTCCTTGAGATTTTCCAGCCGACCTCACCACCTGGAAAGCCTCTTTCTCGCAAAGCGTTTGCAAGATGGCATACAGCTGACCAGAGATCTCCTCCACATCCTCAACAACCTGATGGGTCGGATTCACTGGTCCAAAGGCCGCTTTGATCTCCGTCGCAGTGATCTCAGTGTCGAAATCTTCTGCCCACTCCAACACTGCCTCCATCTTTGGGTGCACGCTGGTGATGAAAGCTTCCATCCTGGTCTTCCAGTACAACCAATTGGACTCTTCTCCAAGAAACCTGTCAGGCTTCGCCAAGCCCCGATTGTCCACCAAGGTCACCTTCTTGTCAGGCCGATCGCGCAACGCCTGAACCAGGTCATTCTGACTCCTTGCAAGCTCCTGGAACGCTGCCCCAACATTGGCTTGAAACGCCGCCTGTTGCTGCTGTGCTTGGGCTTGGGCTTGCTGTTGCTGTCCATTCAAGACCTGATCCAACTGTTGCCTGAGAGCCGCTTCACGCTGTTGTGCATCCGTCTGCCCAGCTGTCAGTTGCTCCACCTGTTGTCTAAGAGTCAACTCACGTTGTTGTGCCTGCTGCATGTTCGCCTGGAGTTGCTGGACCGTGTCGATGAGCTGCTGCGCGGTCATTGCTCCTTGTCCTTGAGTTGCCGCCATTGCTGCAAGTGATGTCCCAAGTTGGCCCAAACACGTCTCAACCTGCGGATCCTAATCACTTTCCTGACAAGTCGTTTCCACCTGTCAGCTACACTTCGGTCCTCCACGACCCAAAGCCTGGACGCGCCGATCCAAAGGATCGACAGCAGTCCAATGGCTATTGCGATGATCCACCAATGGTCAATCGCCACAAGGATCAGTGCAGCTAGCTCAACCAGACGCTCCGCTACCATGCACAAATGTATGAACCCTCAAAGCAGCTGGGGCACCTTTTATCCGTCTTGAGCCAAAACATATCGTTAGGTGGATATAGGTCTACACATGTTATGTAGGAACCCATACCTAAACAGGTACCCTATTTTCAGACAAACTCATATATAATATACAGTATATATAAAATATATATATATATATTTCGAAATAGTAAAAAGCAACAAGCAGGTTCATATTCACAGAAGAAGAAAAATGCTCAGTAGTGATAACCATTTGCCAAAAAATATCTAACACATTTCCTTGCAAATGGGAAGCCCTACGAATTTCAAAGAAACACACGCGTCTGCGATAGATCACTGGTAATTTAACACAGCTATTGAAAATGGTCCATTCAGTTCGTTGATTTACCTATTCCAAATGGTGATTTTCCAGTTCGCTATGTAAACGTTTACCGGGTCGATCACTGGAAATCCTTTGGGACTTCATCGGCTGGGAATTGTCGCTAGGGGAGCCTAAAAAAACGGCCGGGCAAGGCGATGCTTGAGGCGAATGGAAAATCCTGGAACTGCCATGAAAATCTGAGCAAATCATCCAATATATACAGTAACTGGTTGGTGGTTGACCTACCCCTCTGAAAAATGATGGAGTGAGTAACAGTTGGGATGATGAAATTCCCAACTGAATGGAACAATAAAAAATGTTCCAAACCACCAACCAGGTATCACCCATATTTGGTAGAAGTAACCGTTGCGCGAACCATTCTGCTAACCACAAATTATTCCCTTTTTACATCCTTTGCCTGTAAGCCTTGTACCAGCCTTTGGAAATCAAATGTGGCATTTTAACATTCCCCGTTTTTTGTATATATATATATATTTATATATATATATATTGTGAGTGCCTCACTTTGCCTTGTCAGGTTGGAACCTTGATCAATCTTCGAACCATAGGCTCTGGCTCAGGGCAGCAGGTTCGCGGGTGGGTGGGCTTAAGAGAGCCTTTTGCCATAGGTGTGACAGGGTTCACACGTTCGTTGCCTGGGTGTGGTCACCCGATCAGTGCTGGTGGATTTGGCTGTGGACAGCCTTTTGAACAGTCTGCTTGGCGAAAACAGCAGAGAGCTTATCACAGGGAATTGTTGGTGTGGCGTGGATTTGCAGTAGTGGTTACCACCAATTTTCACACCGGAGGTTGGCAACCATTTTTACAGACGGATCCCATTTTGTTGGTTTGGGCCATTGAGATCAAAGAGACCATCTTCATTCCTTTTCAGTTGCATCATCTCAGAGTTCTTGCTGCCATTCATACTGGTAGCGGAGCTCCAGTGAAGGAGCATCCAGGGGTTCAATGACAACTGCAGCAGAATCGACCGGCGCTGTGGGGGTCAGCAATCAGCTGGCATCTCTGGTTCCTTCATTTGACCCTTCAAAGGATGACATGGTACAGTATCAGCAGCGTGTTGAGTTGGTCATGGCGGCCTGGCCCAAGACGAAGATCACTGAGCTGGTCACCCGCCTCATACTCAACTGCCAAGGCTCGGCATTTGCGAAGCTGCAGCTGCACCAGTCGGAGCTTCTGACCGGCGAGGAATCTTCGGTGAAGCGGCTGATTGAGATCCTAGGGGGTCAGTGGGGAAGAATCCCTTTGGAGAAACAGTACCAGGAGGCGGAGGAAGCCATTTTCCATACCATACAGCGAGCAGATGAGTCGAATGACAGTTTTCTGGCAAGGTCAGACGTCATGTGGAGCAAACTTCTGGCTCGAAAACTGACGTTGGAAAGCCTGCAGGCTTACATCACCTTGCGGGGTTCCTGCTTGTCGGCCGAGGACAAAAAGCGTGTGGTAATGGAAAGTGAGGCTGAGGGATCACTGACGATGAAGAAAGTCAGTGAAGCCATCCGTTTACTTGGTGCTGCATTCTTTCATGATGTCACTGGTTTGAAGAAAGGTGCAAAGACGAAGGTGTATGATCAGACAGTACTTGTGAGTGAAACCCATGATGATCCTTATGAAAATGAAGATCCCCCTCATATGCCTGAAGAGATGTTGAATGATGAGCATTTGGAAGCTTTAGCAGCCGAAGGTGACGCTGATGCTGCGTTGATTCTGGACTTCGAACAAGCCGCTCAGGATACGGTTCAGGAAGACCAAGATCTGGCAGTGGCAATGGTGTCCTATCAACAGGCACGTCATCGACTGCAGGAGCGCTTCAAGAATCGAGGTTTCTTTCCAGCTCGTCCTTTCCCAAATGCTGGCAAGGGGAAGGGGTCGTTCAACAAAGGATTTGGGAAGGGCAAGGGGAGCAATTCATGGGACAATCGACCAAAACGGTCACTCCAAGATCGAATCATGAACAGTTCATGCCGTCTCTGTGGGCAACGTGGCCACTGGAAGGCAGAGTGCCCTATGCGTGGCACTTCAACAGGTTCAGCACCTTCGACATCCGGTGGTAACACAGCACCCACCACAACTGTGATAGCTGATTCAGAAGCCATGGACAGCTTGCCACTCGAGTTCGTGAATCTCCCTGATGATTTGATGCCATCTCTTGACATAGATCATGAACCTCAGGTTGTTTCAGCTGTCAGTTTTGTAAGTTTTGCGTCTATGAGATATCCTAGGATGAGTCACCAAGGTTGTATTCCGGGGGAATATGTAGGTCAACATCCCAGGGTGGGGACTAGTGATCATAGACTAACAGCCCATGAACGGCTCCACCGCCGTCTGAGGAGTAGTGCCCGGTCCAGTGATGCGCATCCGATTCCGTGTACAGATCATCCAGTGCCTGAGCCGTTTTGCCAATCGCATTTTGCGAAGGATGTCAAAAGAACATCCATCAGATCCAACACCATTCCAATCATGTCAGCCAGCCAGGACGTGCAGTGTGCTCTGTTTGCAACCCATGGCACTCACGGTGTTTTAGACTTAGGAGCATCGAAGACGGTGATTGGATCCAATCATGTTGCCGATCTTTTGAATGGCTTGGACCCTGCAATCAAAGAGAAGGTCACCAAAACCAGTTGTGACATTACTTTCAAGTTTGGCAATGAGGGAGTTCTCCATAGTAGCTATGCAATTGTTCTTCCGATTGGTCGTCTCAAGTTGAAAGTAGCCATTGTGAAGGGAGGTACCCCGCTTCTGTTGTCGAATTCTCTGATGAGAGCACTCGGAGCCAGGATTGACTGCGAAAACCGTTGCCTCATCAGCCCACTGCTGGATTGTGAAGTTCCATTAAAGCTCACTTCTCGGGGTTTGTTTCTCATTGATGTGAACAGCTTGGCAGTGGCAGCTAGGCCAACCTTGGAACAATCCGTAGGTGAGCCCACGCAGATTCATCAGACCTTTGTGACCGTCCGCCAGAAGGAAAAGATAGCAGGATCAGTGCCAGTTCAGCAGGATCAATATCAATCACCATCACCTCTTCAGGTGCCATTTCCATTCAGTGAATCCAAGGGAGAGCCACATGACACTCTCAACGTTCATGCGACCCAACCTGAAACCATGGTAGCTGTGCTGAAGTCTCAAAGTCATCCAAGTCCCAGTGAATCCACCGAGTGTCCAACCCTTCCGGCCGTAGACCATGTCGCTGAGCAAGAGGTTGAAGGATCTCCAGGAACGAGACAGCGGAGAATTGAAAGACATCTCCCATCTCACACTGACGGACCTCCAGGACCAGAAGGTGCAGTTCGGGCAGAAGCATCTGGGACGCCCCTTTCATCAAGTTTGGGAGGAAGATCAAGAGTGGATCTCGTTCATAGCCAGCAAGTATGCCGAGTCCACCAAGATGTCTCACCGGTTGATCGTTCGGTACATAACTCTTCGTGTGGAACAACACGAACGCAGTCAAACACCGATTCGTGTTGCCCCACCGGCCGAGTCCCAAGCTGCGTCCAGCCAGCTGCCCATGAGTCTCCGTCCCGTTCCCAAGATCAAGGCCAAGCCAAAGGCGGCCAGCCAGATCCCTCACTCCGAGATCGTGCATTTGCCAGACATGGAGGCAGAAGAGGAAGAGTGGAATTTAGGGACGTACCAGAGTGGATATACGGAACCAACCCCCATGAATGCCGACATGATGGCCATGCAGACTCGCATGTTGCATCTCGAGAATGCATTGACCCAAGTGATCCAGCACATGGAACACCAAGCGGGCATCCATCAGCCAGTGCCCGAGGACCAGGAAGGAGCGTGATCAATGAGGATCAGTCATGCCCTTCCGACTCAAGTGTGCACCCTGATGTCAAGAGGTTACAATCACTGATTCGCCAATGTGAAAAGGAACTTGATGCCGCAATGTCCCAACACCATCCAATTGGTAGGCCATTTGTACTTGGGGAAGTGTTTTGCAGCCAACAATCACCCGTGACACATCAGGTGCAACAACTTGGAGGGTCAGCGTTCCGATTCGGTTTGACACAGGGAGACTTGTCAAACATCACAGCCACGTAACATATGGTACTCACCAGTATGTGGTCCATGGTCCAGCTGGTCTCAGTTCAACTCAGCGAGGTCTGTCCAGAGCTTAGAAGAGCATTTGCAGAAGAGGGAACAGTTGTTGTATCAAATCGCCTTGGGTATTGTGTTGTATCGTCATCAAATCATGCATGGACGACACTTCCATTGGGAGCAACCTTCTAAATCACTGATGTTTTCTCAACCTGGTATTTCGGAAATCCACCAATTTACCCAAATGTGTGAATTCGACTTGTGTGAAGTCGGAGGGTTGAAGGACCCGGAAAATGGACTTGCCATGCGAAAACGCCTGGTGGTGGTGACGACTAGCCCAGCTATGTTCCAAGCATTGCATGGCCGAACGTGTCGAAAACAGCATGCACATCAGGTGATAGAGGGTCAAACACATGTTGATGGACAACTGGTTCGAAGGTCGGTGTTTTCTGAAGTGTACCCCCGAAAATTTGCGAGGTTGATAGCTAATGTGATGTGCAAATCGCCACGCCAATGGCCATTTCAGTGGAGCTCCGGACTGATTGCACTCTCCCAGTGCCAAGTGGGGGAACCTACCCTGGTGTCAAATCCCGCGGGTAGGGTGATCAACAGCCAAAGCCGCAAGGCCAATTTTGCACTGACAGAAATCGTGCATCCGATCCCAAAGGCAGAACAGTTGGTCAAACGCAGAAGACTTGGTCACAAACAGTATGTTGAACCTTGTTTGGAAGATTGCCAAGAAATAATTTCCAGAATCAACAAAATTGTCCCTCGAGTTGGAAAGCATGAAATCACACAATCCGATATACTCACACCACTTCAAGGGATGTTCAATGATATGCAGCTGATTAGTGTAGTGGCATGTCGAGGAATGGACAGGACCATGGCCCCTTTAAGCCATATCCATGCCGCTGAAGCCCCATTCAGAAAATCTCTAATGATCCTCCGGCCATCAAGTCAGGTGGCATTTGAAAAGCATTGGGAGAAGTTTGATCAATTATCCCATCGACAGCTGGTCAGGCCATCTCATGCATGTCGATTGAACATCACAATGTTTGCTTGCCGTAGGGATGATGCTTTCAAAGTGAACACACCAGGAACATCATCCAACCCTCCAGAAGAACCCAGTCGTGATGCTAGAAGTGAGCCAAGCACTGCACCTCAGCCGATGGTAGAGGAATCGACCAGCAGTTCATCTGATAGTTGGCAGCCACACTCGCACCACGACTCTGCAGTCCGATTGCCAGCTGGCGAAGACCAGCAGGCCAAAGATTCATCACCAGCAGGCTTTGATGAAGAGACAATGTCAGGTCCCCTACGGGAACAAACGTCACGTTTCTGCAGCCTACCCAAGTGGGAACAGAATCAGATCAAACTGATGCACCGTAACCTTGGACATCCAAGTAATGAACGGTTAGCCAAAGCCTTGCAATCGATGGGTCAGCGTGCTGAGGTAGTCAATGCTGCCAGAGAACTCCGTTGCTCAGTATGTGCCACTCATGTTGCCCCAAAACATCAGCGCCCGGGAAGTTTGAAGCCCATGTTGGATTTCAATCACAAGGTGTACATGGATGGGATCTCATGGACCAACAGCCAAGGAAAGACTTTTCATTTCTATCACATGTTGGATGCAGGTACACATTTTCATGTCGCAGTTGCAGCCCCTTCACGCCTTGGTAGTGATGTAGTTCATTTGGTTAATCAACATTGGGTCTCATGGGCAGGTGCGCCACAGCACCTTGTAGTGGATTCAGCAACGGAACTCAATGGAGAGGAATTCACCACGTTTTGTCAGCGTTTTGGTATTAATACCACTACCACTTGCCCTGAAGCCCACTGGCAAAACGGAAAGATCGAACGACATGGCATGTTTCTCCAAGAGATGATTACCAAAGTCGATACAGAGATTCCTGTAAATAACTATCAAGATCTTCAAACTACCCTGAACTTATGCATTCAATCCAAAAATATGCTGAGTATCAAACATGGGTATGCTCCTGAAATCATCGTGTTTGGAAAACAAAGTCGGCTTCCTGGATCCATACTCAGTGATGAATCAATTCCTAGCCATATGACAGCTATCCAAGAACTTGAACAAGATGCAGTTGGTGGTTTTAGGAAACATTTGCAAATCAGAGAGTGTGCACGCAGAGCATTTCATGTTGCCGACAATTCAGACGCCATCCGTCGTGCTGTGCTCCGAAAGTCATGCCCTTCGAGAGGTCAGTTTCAACAAGGTCAATGGGTCATGGTGTGGAGAACACAGTCCCGTGATAAACCTAGTTGGATTGGTCCCCATCATGTAGTCCTTCAAGATAGTAACCACACTGTGTGGACGACCCAAGGTGGCCGACTTTTTCGCAGCGCACCGGAACACGTTAGGAGATCACTGCCAGCGGAGGGTGAACCCGAGGGTCCCGAACTCCCCAGTGACCTTACTCATATCCAGAACCAAATCGACAGAATGAATCAACTTCCCACGATTGATGAACATGTCCCATTGGAAAACATTGAGGAGCCCATCGAGTCACCAGCCCACATGCCAGAACCAGCGGTGGCCCGAGAACGCCTTGGGAGCACAGCCGAATCACTTGCACAGCCAGATCAGGAGCCAGAAATTAATAGTCACCAGCCATCCATCAATTCTCAAGAATCTGGATCCGATTCAGAACAGACCACAGTTCAACTTTTGTGCATCGATGATGATGATGAAGTTTATTTTTCAACTGAGCACCCTGATTTTGCGTTTCGCTGTGAATTCGATGTGCCTGCTCATGCCGTGCCCAAAGATGCCAATGCGGAGAGTGATCAAGTTGCATGGACTCTGCTGTCCAGCGGCAGTGCCAAACAACGCACCGAAGTAAAAATGTCAGAACTCACCCCTCAAGAAAAGACTCTTTTTGAACAAGCCAAACAAAAGGAAATTGACAATTGGATCCAAACCAATACCATCACCAAAGTTTTGAAGAATCAGATTCCACTCGAACAGGTCATGCGCAGTCGATGGATTTTAACCTGGAAGCCACTAGATGATGTCAATCAAGATGAGATTTCCCAAAGGTGCTCTAGTAAGACCCATAAACCCAAGGCACGTCTAGTTGTCCTAGGATACCAAGACCCCAAGATAGATGAAATCCCCAGAGATAGTCCCACCCTTGGTAAGACAGCTCGCATGATCATCCTCCAAGCCATCGCCTCACATGGATGGCAACTAATGTCATTCGACATCAAGGCGGCGTTTCTTCAGGGTCGACCACAATCCGACCGCATCATGGGCTTAGATCCAGTTCCAGAGCTGCGGCGAGCCATGGGTATGCAACCCCATGAAATAGGCAAGCTCAACAAAAGTGCATACGGATTAATCGACGCCCCATACTTGTGGTATTGTGCTTTGGTTTCTGAACTGACGTCACTAGGAATGGAGGTAAGCCCCTTTTGTCCTTGCACATTCGTACTTCGTGATAAAACTAATCCCCAAAAATTATCTGGTGTACTTGGCATTCACGTTGATGATGGAGTTTGCGGGGGCAATCAGGAATTCCAAGAGCTTATCAAGAAACTTGAAGAAAAGTATCCATTCGGTTCAAAGAAATTGGGATCCTTCACTTTCACGGGTATTGACCTCACCCAAATGGAAGATTATAGTATAATCTTGAGCCAATCCCAGTATGTGAGAAAGATTAAACCTATCCCAATTGACAGTCAAAGAAAGTTTCAGGTAGAGGCCGATGTCACGGAATCAGAGCGAGGACACCTACGTGGACTCGTAGGTTCCCTCCAATATGCAGCAGTGAACACACGACCTGACCTATCCAGTAGACTATCCATGTTGCAATCATCAATCAACAAAGCCAAAATCGAAACACTCCTAGAAGGGAATCGTTTACTGCATGAGGCAAAGAAACATCATGATGTGACCATTCGAATCAGACCCATACCTGTTGAAGATTTTCGGTTCATGGCATTTTCCGACGCTTCATTCGCATCCCAAAGAAAGCCCGATTCACACACAGGTCTAGTCATTGTTGGCACCCACAAGTCTATTTGTGAGAATATCCAGTGTCCTATCAGCCCGATCACATGGGGTTCCAAGAAAATTCAGAAGGTAGTGACGAGCACCCTAGCGGCAGAGACAGTGTCCCTTGCTGCAGCACTAGACCAACTTGGATGGCTTCGCCTGTTTTGGGGATGGCTCCATAATCCTGACACGAATTGGCGTAATCCTGAGGAATCCCTTTTAAAGATTGAGCCTGCCATCTCAGTACCAACACTGCCTGAATTTTCCGACTTGGCAGTCACTGATTGCAAGAGTTTATACGACCTAGTAACAAGGACAGCACCACCGTCATGCACGGAATTTAGAACACAACTCATGGCCCGATCCATAAAAGAATCCCTCAAGGAGGGTATCCAACTAAGATGGGTCCATGGTGGTGCCCAACTGGCTGACGCACTGACAAAGATAATGCAAGCCAACTTTCTCAGAGCCACTCTCAAAATAGGATACTACAGATTGCATGACGAAGACTCCATTCTCAGGAGCCGTGCCCAGACCCGCGATCGAATCAAATGGCTTAAGGAAAGCCCATCAGATCCGCTTTTGAACCAAAATTGATCAACAGAATGTTTTTGACGAGTGTGAGTGCCTCACTTTGCCTTGTCAGGTTGGAACCTTGATCAATCTTCGAACCATAGGCTCTGGCTCAGGGCAGCAGGTTCGCGGGTGGGTGGGCTTAAGAGAGCCTTTTGCCATAGGTGTGACAGGGTTCACACGTTCGTTGCCTGGGTGTGGTCACCCGATCAGTGCTGGTGGATTTGGCTGTGGACAGCCTTTTGAACAGTCTGCTTGGCGAAAACAGCAGAGAGCTTATCACAGGGAATTGTTGGTGTGGCGTGGATTTGCAGTAGTGGTTACCACCAATTTTCACACCGGAGGTTGGCAACCATTTTTACAGACGGATCCCATTTTGTTGGTTTGGACCATTGAGATCAAAGAGACCATCTTCATTCCTTTTCAGTTGCATCATCTCAGAGTTCTTGCTGCCATTCATAATATATATATATATATCGGGAGAACGTGTTTGGTCGCCCCAATGCAATTGAACACGAACATTATTAGGGGGCTTGTGAAACGTGCACAGCATATGTGAAAAGTGCAGAACTTCTGTAAAACGTGCACAACTTCTGTGAAACGTGCACAAATGCCGGGAAACGTGCACAACATCTCTGAAACGTGCACAACATCTCTGAAACGTGCACAACATCTCTGAAACGTGCACATATAGAATACTTAAAAACACTGGGTGGGGGAGCTGAAACACGTTATTCCCATATATATATACATAAGCTAGCTTGGGGCTTGCCCATCTTCCAAATATCTAACCCCACAAAATTATTCCCATATATATATATATTATAATTATATATAATTATATATATATAACTTTCCCATTCAAACCTACATTTCTAGGGGATTTCCGTTGCCATGGATGCCCAGTCGCCAACCTCCCAAGTCTCCTTTGAGCTTCAGCAAGGCCGCGCACGGCAGCACGATGCAAATGAAGTTCTGTGGCACGATGCCCACCTAGCAACAGAAATATGCAATAAATTTATGCGTGTAAATACATATGGGTTTGTCTGAAAATAGGGTATATTCCCAATTATAGCCATTTAATAGGGATAATGGTCATTAGTGTAGGGGTACACTATTTTCAGACAAATCCATATTATTCTACACGTATATATACATGTCTGCGCCTGTGTATGTAGTGTTTATGTATGTCTATGTATAGTGCACGTGTTGTGTCCAAAGATGTTGAATGCTGGTCTTCTTATCTACCTGTTCCTGGCGTGACATCATCTCACTGGCTCCGAGGGGTTGGCCCTTGGCCCAGCCACGAGTTCGATCACAAAGGCTGCATCATCGTGGAGGAAGAGGCACAGGCAGGCGGTGACCAGAGAGAAGAGGACCTTCATCCAGCAGCCGGGGCGCGAACACTCCTGGAAGCCGGGAAAATAACACCAACTGCAGGGGATTCCAGGTCCTCCTTTTTTTTGGAACAGATGGACCAACTTGAAAGATCCAATTGATTACAAACCTAAACCCCTCCAGCACAAAACTTACCCAAAAAAAAAAAACGAAACATCGCAGCAACCAAAAATCATCCAAAATCTCCTCCAAAGGCCTCAGAATGGGAGCTGCCAGCAATGGCACATTCACCAGCAACTTCAGCGTCACGCTGATCAGGCAGAGGGCACTCATGGCACCGTTGAGTTCTCCTGGTAGCAGCTGCAGGTTCAATGGACTGCGGCCCAAATTCATCGGGAAGGACTGCGCTGTGCCATCGCCGAAGAAACCTGGACGAAAATTGGAAAGGTGGGACTCAGGACTTGCAAACTCGGTCTTGGACAGGTCTTGGATCGAGATGGATGGATACTATATACTAGATAGTACTATGTATATATATATATATGTGGTATTGTATGGTGCAATTTGCTATATATATATACATATACGCATAAGTGTGCACATGTTAAATTTCAAGCTTCATTCTTTTTTTTGCGTGCAAAATGTAGCCAACTTGTTGCAATCATCCCAAAAGGACGCCCAACTGAGATCAGCTTTTCTCAAACGCAACGACCAAGAAGCTGTAGCACAGCATTGCAAGAGCCACAAAAAATGCCGCCGCAAGGCCCGTGCTGCACAGTACAGCTTGGCTCCATTTGGAGGGGTCCTGAATGGGATCAACCTTTATCATCACCACACAATGGGAGGGTCCCAAATGGCAGTGTGTCAAAACCTTGTACCCCTGGTGAACATCAAAATAGCTGGTAAATGGATGTTCATCCCCCTAAAAATGGTATTAATAGGTATTGATCCATACCCAAATCCAAACACAACGTATCCCACCTCCATCAGTTGATAGACCAAGGGTGCCTCTGAATGCACCATGAAGGTGTAAATGGCCACCCCTGCTGCTGGGGGAAGTCCTGCCCAGTTCACCATCACCTGACAGGGACAGTCACATGGTCATTCAATGGTGATTTCATTTGTTTTCTTGGTGATTTAATGGGATGTCATGGGATTTCATGGTTATATAATTTGATGTAACTAATTTGATATAATGGTGTAAATCTAGATATACTCTTGCGAGCTGGAAAAGACACAATTTTTGAGAGGTGATTCATCGAACTGAATGGCAATTTTCCATAGGAAATGGTCTCAACAACCTGTCCGAGATCGCGCAAAACTGTGGGATTCAAAAAAGAAAATATGGGGTTTGTTAGATTTCACGTGATTTACATCATCAACCACACTATGATAATCATGATGTAACCAATACGAAAGAGCGGATTCAATTCAAGCAACACAACTATGTTTAACTATGATTCTTGGACCAAAATGTGAGATCTCCCGCCCCAAGAAATATACGGATTGATCCAAGCGAGTGGATTGAGGCATGGGTTTTTGCCCACCAAACCCTTTGCGATTGAAATGGATTGCACCAAATAAACACTGGGAACTTGGATAAGTAGAGGGATAAAAATACCATTTTTCACAAAATGGGACCTGGGATTTCCCACAATCCCAATGGTTTTCTCCATTTTTTCTATGGTTTTCATATGGTTTTCCTATGGTTTTCCTATGGTTTTCCGATGTTTTTATTCCACCACACATTTCACCAGGGATCCTCCAGGGATCTTCGCACGCCGCACCTGGTCCTCCGCCGCCTCGCCAAGGGCCACCAGCTCGCCACCGCTGATCAGGAGGCAAGACAGGATGATCAACATGCTACCTGGAAGGATGAAAGGGACAAATAGTAGGATATAATAGTAGGATGATCAACTATCACTAATATATAATATATTCAACATGCTACCTGATATATTCAGGAGGCAAGAAGGATGGTAAACGTTTACATAACTGATGGGAAAATCAGCTATGTCGAATAATGGGAAAATCAGCTATGTCGACTGGGCCATTTTCAATAGCTATGTAACAAATTACCAGAGGCTACCTGGAAGGATGAAAGGGACAAAGGGATGATGAAGATAAAATTGAGGGATGTTTTTCACTTGTATTAAACATAACATGAGAAAATTCATCTGGATTCAAATTGAAGGGATATATTATGATATATTGACCCAGCTACGGCGGATTCCGGTGAATGGTTTTCCGAAATGCTGCAGCAGTTGATAGGTGGTAAACATCCCATAGGGTTTCAACCATCCAAGGTGCAGGACTTCTTCCAGCCAATGTCTGCTTGAAAGAAACAAAATTGGAGGTTTCCGAAGTGCGGTACCCCCAGTTCTCATCGTTCATTGGGATTTTCCATGAAATAAACCCAGCTGTTGGGGATCCTCCATGAGTATGGAAACCCCCGTTTATAAACCAGAGAAAAACTATAGTTGTATCAAGCTATATCCCCCCTAAACCATACTCAAGCAATTATGTGCGTCAACTTAGCAACCTTTTCTGCAAACCTTGTTGTCATTGGTGTGTCAATGATTCTTAATTATTGGTCATTGATTCAAGGATGATGGAGATCAGTAGTGATCAACAAGGATGATGGTCCACTGCCAAAAAAAAAGAAACCGTGTGTTCATCACTTTGATTCAATGACTGGCTGAATTAAAATGATTCACCCACCACTAACATGGCAATGGACGATCCGCCATTTACGAACAGATTGACATTTATGTATGTATGTATGTATGTATGTATATATATATATATGTGTGTGTGTGGGGGGCAAATTATAATAATTCACTTACCTGAAACTTGCGGCCCTTTTGGGATGATTCCTCTATAAAAAACATGATTCCAGGGTTCGGGAGAAGTGAGGTCGTGATGAAATTTACCCAGATATATATATATATATACCATTGCTGGTTATAAATATCTTCATCCAAATATGTTCATCATTGAGCCAACTCCATTTCGGAGAGCACCAGCCATTGGAGATGATCGGTGTTGTCTCGGCTGCTTAAAACACACAGATGTGTGAAACAGTTAGTAACAAAACACATAGCAATATGGTGCATAGAATGTCAATGAATCCTGGCGTTACTGCAAATCAGAACCAACTTATCTATTCATAACACCTGTGCTCTATTGCTTAAAATAACATTAAATTTCGAAATATAATCGGATATATAACCAACAATGTCGAGAATTATGGAGAGATAAAGAAATATTTCATCAGCTTGGGGGTATTGATAGGTGACAATTTTAATGCGGACAATGATGATGAACCCAGTAAATCATGGTGCAAACACATGTCATGTTTGGTGTTTTCATCCAACTGCCCTGGAGAAGAGATTGGTTTTCAAGCTGGAAAGGATATTGAACCTCCACGGCTTCCTCGAGCCCTGCCAAGCTACCCAAACCAACGACTGCTAAAGAAGAGAAATGCCTGCAATGTGGAAAATGTGACAGACTGCCACATGGACTGACAGGTGATACATGACTAGGTACATATCTTTACGTGAATATAATCATATATATATGATATAATATTATACTATATATAATATAATATTATAGTATGTTCGATTACATTATATTATTTGCATATGCATATTATGTAAATATAAATATTTATTTATTTATATGTTGATATATGTGTGTGTGTCACATACATAGGAGTAATTGGATTTGTGACCCACTGAATGACATGCGGCAGGATGGGCTGGCTCAACAAATTGAACAAACAGTGGCGACTGACATCAGCACCATCCAAGAATATAAAATGACATCGATTTTGCCAACAAAAAACATGTCCCATTCCCCCAACCTAGACCCTGCCATGTCTTCGGGTTGGAAGACTACCTTCCTCTAAAAAAGAATGATGTCTGGGGTGTATGTTAGCTCGGGGGATGGTGAACCGCGCCTAGCTTCCACGAAGAGCAGTATGAGGAGAACTCCAAAGCAGCCAACACTGAGAACTGCAGTTGACAGGGAAGGGAACAGCAATTGCCTGCTGCCGGTCACAAAAAACGTCAATTCGGATCATGCTCGATATCATCCCAATTTTCGGGGATGTGCGATAAGAACCTTTAAAAACTCTATAAACATGTGCAAACTGCACACGTGAACCCATAAGAATCCATGTGAAACCACCATCTCATCCCATGGCCAAAGTCTCCAAAAACTCACCATCCAAGCTGCAGTTGATTTGATGCCAAGATCAGTCCTGACACCAAGCCGCCATAAAGATCCACAAGGGCACAACCAGAGAACAGCAGCTGGCCAGACCTTCCAAAAGCCATCTGACCCAACATCCCCCAGTCGCAGCTGACCATTGGCACATTCATCTCGTTGGCTCGAGCGTCCACAAGGCGCAAGAGAGTACCTGAGAAATGGTTTCTCTGCCTTGGGGGCAGGAAAAAAAATGGTGAACAAATGACATTGATTTGGGTGATTCTTAAAGTGTGTAGGGTTTTAAATGATTCAATGACGGTCTTTAACTACCGGAAAAAACATGTTGTGACCGTTCAGCTCTAAAAATAGCCGTTTAGCTGTTGCTGTGCTTCAATTCGTTTCCCATCTATTTCCACACATCACGCCGTTTCCCAACCAGGAAACCCGTGAGCCACAGGGTGAAGCTCATCATCATCGCCACCGCGAGGAAGGGAAGCACAAAGAGCCAGCCAGCTTGTTTCCAGGCATAGGGAAGTACCAAGATTCCAGATCCTGGGGTTTGCTTCAAAACATGGACCATCTTCCCGGTAGTTTCGAATGCTATGGAGGAAAAAAATTCACAAATCCTCCGCTAAAATCATCCAAAATCATCAAAAATCTGCTTGGTGGTTTCAACCCCTCTGAAAAATATAAGTCAGTTGGGATTATTATTCCCAATATATGGAAAATCACCAAACTGAATGGAGAGTCAATTCATGTTCCAAACCACCAACCAGATAAAACTCCTTATGAAATCGCCAAATCATTCAATCCCAATGGTCCCATATAGGCATTCAGCATCGTCACGATCGTTCCCCCCAGGGACGAGCCCTTCGCAATGCCTTTGCCGTGTCCCTTCAGCAGCACGTCGCTGTCCAAGGAGCTTTCAAGTTCGGCAGAAAGTCCTGCCGTGGCGAGGGGATGGAACAGGAGTTTATTCGTTTCTTTATGCATCTGTTCATCTCTTTTTTGTGATCCAAAAATAGAAAAACAAAATCTCCCAACTAAAATAGTGATAATTTGCTGTTGAAAATCAAATATGTATATCAATTTATTTATTTATTTATTTATCTATTTATTTATTTAGGTATTTATTATCATTATTTTACTTATCTATTTATTCATTTATTTATTTATCCTCATAATGGTCAGGACCAACAGAAACATCCAACGCGTCTACATATAAATATATGATTAGTGGGGGTATACCTGAACATTCCTTCGATCAATTATGTTTGGTAGTTTTGGAGTATGACCTACAATGACCCAGTTTTCAGAATCTCGTCTAATTCTACTAGTTTGCCTGGTTTTGCTTCCTGGTGGCCACACTATCACCACAAGTGACATTTTGAATATGACTGAACATGGTTTGCATCCTGGCTGCGCCCAGGGACATACCAGGCCATTCTCATACCCCTAGCACCAACGCATATAAATGCACATAACTGCGCCCAAAATTACCTTCAAAACGCGCGCAAATCCAAGAATCTGGTAAATTTGTGAAATTTTGGGAGCGCGGATTGAAAGCAAAATGCTGGTGAGAAGACTGGGAGGAGGGTCATGCCGATGGGACACACAGCCATGACATACCAGGCCTAACTTTTCGGGAAACCGCTCGATACGACCATAAATTTGATGAAACACCTGATTGTGCAAAACGACTGATATTTTTTAGGAGTTGGAAGGCGCAGGTAAAGACAAATAGTACTCTTGCGATTCGTGCTTACATTTCCCAGATTCCCGCTATGGATAAAGAGTTTACTTTAAGAAATATTTTAACAATAAAGCTAAACGTTCAATCATAATTAAAACATATTAGTTTGTAGACATTTACATGAAAAAGTATAAGAAATGCAAATATCCCACTAGTATCCCATTTGTTTCTGCTGGACAAATACTCACTTAAAACTCATGAAAAAAGACTCAAACTGACCACCAGTCGCCACCACTCGGCTTCGACTTGACCCCGGAAGGCTCGGTTTTGGCCCGCTCCGCTCTTCGCAGGGACTGGCGGGGAAATGCCAAAGATCCATCTGGAGTGCGGAGGTTGGTGACCACCGAAAAACTGCCGAAGTCTTGACTTGGAAGATTGTATCCTGTCAGGAGATAGTGAGACGCCCAAAAAATGGCCATTTCAATACGTCCTCAAGGGTGTAAGCTGCTCTTGGAAGAAACTTGGATTCCTCATGATTGCTCTTGGTGTCCTTCACTGATATACTTTTTGTTTCCAATTGTTTCCAATCAAGAAAAGGGGTTGGTGCAGATTCTACTTTCAAGCAATTCTGCAAATCGTTTGAAATTCTTGGGTTTGCTTGAATTTTATAGGAACGAAACAGGGACAGGTTCCTCTGTCCGATGCCTGCATGATTTCGACAACCAAATTTACCGCAATCCCAACAAACACGATTTCAGTTGAATGGGCTTGAAGGTGCAAGCTCATGTCGCAAATTCCATAGGGAACAACATGAAGCAGCTGGCTATGTCCTGTGTTAAAACTACGTTTCTAGAATGCTAATTCTTGTCTATTCGGTTAAAGACTCGTATCGTATATCTCTCTCCATCGCTATCTTCGGGAGTCTATATTTTGATAAACATGTGGATTTTCCAACCAACCTTTGTAAGTACGATAATCATTCAGCAACCTGAAAACATCAGCAAGATATGGGATGGTTGCCCTCATGATTCCCATCATTCTGTATACCCTCTGGTAAACGTTTACATAGCTATGGAAAATCACCATTTTCAATGGGTACTGTAAATCAACTATAAATGGCCATGTTCAATAGCTATTTTGACATAACCAGAGGGTAAATCAGAACAATTCCCCTGAAAAGTTCGGCCAAAGAAGGGGACAAAAAAACCCTCACTATGTCACTATGTCTATGTTAACTATGTTACATCCAGTGACATCGCAGCCCGGTCAGGACCATTTTTTGATCCAGATTTTCAATGATATTCCAAGATCCCCACAACATATCTGGTTGGTGGTTGACCTACCCCTCTGAAAAATATGAGTCAATGGGAAGGATTATCCCATAACAAATAATCCAAATGTTTGAAACCACCAACCAGATATCCATCTAATGCATGGTATCATGTGATGGTTTTTAAAAAAAAATGACCGGTGTTTAATGGTTATATCATATCACTATGATATACCATGATAACCATTCTGCTGAGTACGGTCATGGGATACCCAATTGAATGGTACAAGTAAGTCACTCTCTCTCTCTCTAAACCAATGTTATAACCACGATAACCATTCCCATCATGAAATTCACCGACATATCCACACTCGTGATGACATGATTCATTGAAATACCATTGAACCATTTCATGAACCACAATGATATTCCCATCTTGACCCTGCAATCCATGGTTAAGTCCCCTCCCTGAACGGTGACTTAGTCAGGCTGCGTTGGAAGGGATAGGGATGGAAGTCCACTTGGCACATGTCATAGGTCACCGGTCGGTAGCCTTCCTTGTAAAACATCAGGAAGTAGTTCACCTAGGAAAATACAGTGGATTGTTCACCCAAAACATCGTAGTTTAACATGGTTTAACATGGTTTAACATGGTTTAACATGATTTAACATGATTTAACATGGTTTAACATGGTTTAACATTGTAGAAATCAGGAATCAAAGTTCTTAAATAGAATTCTTCGCTCTACTGAACCCACCAATTTATGTGGATGTCCGCAGGATATTGGGATTGGATGGGTTTGGTTTGATGTGATACTAGTTTATATAAAAAGCATTAAGGGGGATGAGGATAAGAACATCTAAGAAACATGTAAGAGTTTTAGCGGCATTATGATCGGAGATGGTATAATGTATCTATATTTTATATCAGCAACAACATGAGGGATCCGGTTGATTGGCGAACCCATCCGCAACATATATATATATATATATATGTGAGTTAAATTTGGGGTCATGATCCCAAATATTTTTGTCTGGACAATGAATCTACACACAATTGGAGGCTGGTTTTTTTTGATCAAAGAGTATCAAAGTTTCCCGACCCAGCTATGTGTCGCTTTGATATGGGCAAAACCCAAGGAAAACCCAAACATACCCTCTGGTGAACGTTTACATAACTATGGAAAATCACCATTTTTTAATTGGAAAATCAACTATTTCTATGGCCATTTTCAATAGCTGGGTAACAAATTACCAGAGAATATGTAAAAAAATGCTTGGTCATCAAGAAGTACGACAGTTGGATCTGCAGAAAGATCAAAGGTAAGAAACCCGGCTAGTTGGGTTACAAACACCGCAGGTTGAATCAGTGGGATCCTACCCTCTGGTTATGTCAAAATTTGTTACATAGCTATTGAAAATGGCCATAGAAATAGTGCGTTTTCCCATTAAAAATTGTGATTTTCCATAGTTCTGTTAGTTTACCAGAGGGTAAATACCAAGAACCTGAAAACAGTCTTAGAATTACTGACTGTGGGTTTACATCATGATCTTTGGTACAAGTGTACGATAGTGTACGTGATACTGTGGATGGTTGCAAAATCCTGCACCACCACAAGGATGGTTGAAACCCTATAAATAGTGGGATTTTTTTGTGGGATGTTTACCACCTATCAACTGGTGCAGGATTTCGCTGGTCCATCCACCGTATCATCATTGTAGCTCGGTCACACCACTGGAGACCAGCTGGAAGACCAACTCTGGATCAACGTAGCTGACGGGTCCGAATAATGAAACTGCCACATCAACATCCTGAAAAGTTTCATCTGGCCCAAAAAATGGGCCCATGAAACTCGCAAAAAACCTCGTTGAATTCTGAGACTTATGAGCATTGAAGAACATGTCATATCTAATGTAGGATGAGAAATTTGGCTAATTAATGTACTCAAATACTACATGTTTACATAAAGATAATCATAGATATAGATATCATTGATATCATCTATTCGGCATTCTTATCAAATTAGGATGAAAAAATGGCCCTCCAGGTCCTCCAAGTCTTCTGCTCCAAAGGCCTGAAAGCCGCCAATCCAATGAAGTTTCCCCAATGGGAGGGATTTAAGTCTGAAATTGTGACATCATCCTGCCCCATTGGGAGAAAATATGAGAAAATTCCAAAATCCTATTTTGGAATAGTAATTAATTAAACTATTTACAGTGTTCCAACTTACTACGTTTTCTTTATCCTTTTGAAATATGTTCCAATTTTTGCAGGGGTTCCACAAAAAATGAACCCAAAAAACTGTCCCCAACATCACCCAACATCCCAAAAGCAGCCTTTTTCTTGGTCTCATGCTCCGGAAACTTCCTCTTCAACTCCTCCAACATCTTCCCGGAGGGATCGATGCCGAGGTAATCCTCCGGCTGCAGAGCTAACAGCTCCAGCAATAGCCCGGTGCCACAGCCCAGGTCCAGGACTTTGCAACCGGGAGCCAGGTACCTGGAGGTAAGCAGCAACCAAAAGGGAGCTGTTACCATCAAATTTATCTGGATTTATCATTATTTATCCAAACAATATGGGGATTTGAACTGATTCAACTATCAAACATGATGGTTTTACTGAAAAGAATGGGGATGTACCATATACATATGATATATATATATATATAACTATCGCGAGTTGGGATTGTTCAGTCAGGCTACGCACTTCTTACTCTGCGTCAAAAATTCGATGAAATCTAGGGACCCAGAGATTTCGTCGTTTGGGTACCCCATTTTTTTCACCCAAAAATCACCTCATGGGCCTCATGGGCCTGCAAAGTGTTTAATGGCACTAATGCTGAATGTTAACATATGTTACCCTAAAAGATGTAGTTGTTTGATGTTATTTGTAGTTTATTTTTTGTTCCTGTGCCCGCACCTGCCAAATCTGCCAAGAAACTCTCTCAAGAATCCCGCAATCGCTTGATCCTCCTGTAGACTTTCAGGGTCCTTGTGGAGTGAATCATATTGGGCCGCAATCGCATCATAGTCACAGCCGCCACAGGATGCTGACCTCTCTACGACTTCCATGATTGGATTCCTAGTGAAAGAAGATGTTGCAATGGCAACACAAAATCGGGCGTATTTTAACGGGCTGATCACCGCAAAACGGCTGCGAAGATATCCAAGTGAAATCTGCCAATCTTGGACCCGAGTTTGTTGGGTTTTAAGCCTCTGAATGACGACCCTCACTGGCAAGTAAATCTGCATACATTTTTTTGACCATGTGGGGTTGGCAATTCAGGTCGTGGTGCCTGGCTCTGGGCATGGCACCCCCAACCCCTCATTGGGTGGTTGAGGGTGGGACGCAAAAATTTCAAAAACAAAAGAAATGTTGAACATGACAACATTGAAACATTGAAATACATGTGTCACATTGACAATTGACGTTCACAATGAACTTGAGGGAAAACGGCGTTCGGTTGGTTCATATACATTCGCCACTTCATTCACAGTCTTAAATTGTTTGCCTACGGCTTGCATCATTAAGCCTCTGAATGACGACCCTCGCTGGCAAGTAAATCGGCATACACTTTTTTGACCATGTGGGGTTGGCAATTCAGGTCGTGGTGCCTCCCCATTTCTCATTCGACATGAGTTGCCATATCGAACATGGGTCAAAGAAAGTTCTGGCACAACCACATTGGAGTAAAAATGACACATCAAAACGTGAAGGTTCCTTGGCAATGTTTGACTCCGTCGGTACTCTTGTAATCCAGACATTCCAAGATTGTTCAAACTCCAGTTGAAGACAGGCGTTGAGAATTGGTAGGGCATTGTCACTGGTGGTGTGACAAGAGATGAATGCATCCCGTACACCGTCGTTATCAGTGTGGATCACAATGTTACATCCAGCAAGCATCTCCTTCCAAAGCCACATTGCACAGAAGAATGCGAAAAACTCACATTCGAAAATCATCGTCTTTCTTTTCGACACATTGATCTTTGTCAACAAATCGTCATCAAGTCTTTCGGAAAAGAAGTTTACCTTCTCACCCAAACTATTCACCAGGGCTGCACCTACTCCAGCTACAGAAGAATCTCCGCCGCTTTCATGGGATGCGTCTGTGAAGATGAACCAGGTCATGGTGCTCTTCTTGGTCAAAGTCCTAGGGGCCTTCATCTGCAGCAGCCCACAAAAACGCTCCAGGGATGTCAACAGGACATCTGACAACCTGCCATCGCCAGTGTCGTATGCGTGCTGTGTCACCGCAGAGAGGCAACGTTTAGCCACACGGCCAAAGATTTGGCCTGACACGAACTGCATACGGCCTCTCAGCCGCAGAGCTTCCTTTTTGGTCATACGACAGAACTGAATGACACTTGAAATGGTGTCCAGCAACTCCAGTGCCCGCTTTTCAGTGTTGTCGATCAGGACTAGTCCTTGATGTAGGTCGCTGACATCCACTGACACCCCCAGTGCTGTAACTGCGGGAGAGAATGGCGGTGCTTTAGGGCCATCTTCCGCCAACTTCCAGCCCAGCATCCTAAACACCGTTTTCACAGTGAAATCCACCGATTGAGATTCCGCCACAATGGCCAAAGAAATAAAGTCGTCAAAATAATTCGTTGTGATCACCATGAAGATGGTCGTCAAGACCGCCCAGATGCTGTGTGACAGCCGTAAAAAGGAATGCACAGACTTCACACTCCCCACCCCCAGCCGGATATGCGTTTCGCTGCGCAAGAAACAGCGCAGCAACAGCAAACGGAGGCCAGAGCCTAACCAAACAACCACACAAAAGCCACCTAGGCGAAGAGGAAAAAAACTGCCTCTATGCCTTGAAAGACATGCATAAGCGATTGGTACACCTTCCACTAGAAAATAAAAATGAAATCCGGACTGCGAGATGAGGCAGCACCTTTAAAGTAAATGAAAGCGAAAAGGTCTGTACACAGCCAATCTAGTCTCTCAGAGTCCACTCAGATGTGCTTCTTCAAGTCTTCAACCCACATGTTTCGTAGCAATCGGACACCTTCGAGATGTCCTGGAGGGATACATTAAAGGCCACCAACCAAACTTCACAAATGGGCACGCCCTGCTTGTGAACAAGGAGCACTCGCACTTTTTTTCCGGAGTGCGGCCGATGTAGCTTACAGTGGGGAGACATCGGCTGGTCCGGAACATGTGCAAAATTCAACTCCAGAAACCTGGTCCCACCCACACACACTGCGCGCCTCCAGTGCGCGAACTTTGGGTGGCATGTTATACAACGCAAGAGTTACCCACACGGCTAAGCTATGCACCAAGAACACTGGAGCAAAAAAGCAACAGTGTTGGCACAAAAAAGTTGTGCTGGAAGTGCTGGGCAAAAAAGTCTGCGGTGGACACGCAAGTCCCACATTTCCACACTGCTTCCAAGAGATGTCAACCTGCATTATTGCAGACAGATAGAGGTTGACGCATAGACAGCTGGATCGGCGGCAGATAGACAACAGGCAGACAGACAGACAGACAGACAGACAGGCAGGAATAGATCGGACGGTGCCCTTGAGCTCAGTAAGATGGTTCGGGCAACTTATTCATTGAAGGGCGGATTGCACGTTGTGGACCGCGCCTTTTGCGATCTTGTGCAGGCATGATTCTTGTGATATTCTTGCACCACCACCCGGTATTGCAAATTTCCAACAAGGCCGTTCTTTTTCAAGCAAACCAAAATTGCTTGACCAAAAGCCTCCTTACCTATGTCCCAGAATGTCCACAGCGCCACAACGCCAGCCACTTTGTCAAAATTCGCACCGCGCCACAACGGGAGACCACGTTACGATCAAAATGGCCGCCGCGCGACAACGCCACTTTGTTTCACAATTCGCACCGCGCTACAACGGGAGACCACGTTGCGATCCAAAAATTGTGACCGTATCACACGCGCGCACTCAATCATGACGTCCTCCTCGCGCAAAGAAAATATTTTTCAAACTTGTTTAAATGCGCGAAGTACGTTGCGATTGCAGGTTTTCTTGCAGCTGCGCGCCACTTTTTGATAACATGCTTCAAGTGCTGCGTATGCCACGCGAAATGATCCTGAAAATGCTGCGTTGGCCACAGAAAAAAATCATAACATGCTAAAGTATTGCATCTGCGACGCAAAATGATTCTTAGCTACTGAAAATGCTGCGAGCAATCACAACGTGTCCAGTGCTGCGCTTGCCACGAAATTTGACCAACGTGCTCCTGGTATTTGCATGCCCTGCAGTTTTTGATCAGGAGATACTGTCTCCACGAAGGAACTTGCAATCATGTGAAAAAGCGCCGTGCACAGATCTGAAGTCAGATCTAACGCTTCAAAATTCTACAGGACTACGCAAAAAAAAAACGCGGACGCCAAACACGAGCGCAGAGCGTGAAGTCACAAACCTAATGACACTAGAGCACTGTCGTGTCAAGAAACTTGTTTCACCCTCAACTCCCACATGCTGACGTCGGACTCCTTCTTTTCGCTCCAGACGCAACACGATCAGTCACAGGGAAACACAGACACAACAAACAAACCAAGAAAAGAGAGAACGGAAGAAAGCAAGATAATGTGTTCCCTCTGTCGGCCTGTATCATGCTAAACTAGGTGACACTGCAGCTCTGTTCATTAAATGAACTTTTGACACCACTCCCTTGAGCCGATGTCTCAACCGGTAAACTCGATTCCAGGTTTCCAGTTAACAAACCTCAATGTTCTTCAAAGAAAGGTTTGTTGAAACAACTTCAGCTGCTACAAATCTACAAATTCACCTAGTGGTAAAAAAATCGAAACACTTCCAAAAGTTCTCAAAGCAAACTGGTTCTCATCCAAACGTGAATAACCAGCTAGCTAACGCGAACCTAACGCTGACTAGCGCAGTTAGGTTCTACCAAACATCTAAACAAGTCGCGTAGCTCTTCAAGAACGAAGTGATTCATTCACAGTCTTCTGTGCAATGTTCTTTTGAATACAAAACATAGTCTGAACACAACGTTCCATCTCCAAATCAGTTCTCCACATAGAGATAACATCTCACAGCTTCAAACTTCAATGTAGAACAGAATGTTCTGTTCGACATTCACAATGTAGGTCAGCCAAATACAGTTGTATCGCTGTAGTCTTTCGACCACTGTAATAGCCAATCCACAATGCAAACAAAGTCGCTTAAGAACAGGTTGTTTTCTGAAGCGATAAGCAGATATTATCCCATCTGCCTCTGGGCATATAAATGACGATGATGTAGGTATTGTCCTCACAATACCGAAGCATCTCATCACAAATTCTCAGACAAGTAAGATGCGCCAATATGGCCATTGTCCTCATAATTCCAAGATATGTTCTCTCCATCAGATACTTCCAGCTAATCCAAACTCTTCTCCAAGAGTTTCCAGCTGTATGTTCCCATCACTTGGAGAGATCAAACTGCTCAGTGTCGCAGACACACTATAAATCTCAATGTCGAACCAATGTAGATATCCTCAGCTCAAGCCTGCCTACGGGTGTACCGGATTCGGGCAGAATCCGAAATAAGGTGTAGAACTGATCAATACACCACATTCCAGGTCAACATCGATCACTGACACTCAAAAGTGTCATAAAGGCTGCAGATCCCAAAGGACAGTAGGATATCGTGTCCAAACTGCAGGTCAACTGCACAGGTCTCTTCAACAACAAATTGAATGTTGTCTACCAATCTTCCGTGCACAAAACTGTACCAAAACGAACGCGTGAAGGACGTTCACGATGAAGAATGACATGTCGCCAACTGTAGGTCACCCTTACAGGTCACCCATAGGGTGATCAACTTTCACACCCCCTTTCGACATGGCATCCCATCTCACTACATCGTACGGATGTTCAATTCAGCATGGACAAGAACGTCCATATCCGAAATGACGAAAAGTATCCATGGTTCCAGGTCACATCGAGGAATCCAAAAATAGTCAAAGAATAATACGTCGCTCTTCCAAAACAAAAGATAGATGATGAGACTGAGACATCATCCCAAAACTCCGGTGTCTAACTCGTACTCAATGTCGCAAGCTCCAAACTCAAATAGATTCTCCAGTTCAGAGACGAAAGTAAAACTCACGCAACTCCAGTCATGACAATCTTCATGACATACAATGTTGCAAGTAGAAATCCTCGTAACCAGATGTAAGAATCCAAACTCAGTCCATAGACTTCAAAGTCTTTCCAGTACCAGATTTGTCTTCCGACTTCCAGCTCTTCGGATAAACCATGGCGTCAATAATGATAGATCTACAGTGCTGTTGTCATCCTACAACGAACGAAACAACACAACAAAACAGAACAAACACACACACACACTTGCTCAGAAACATCTTATCGAATTACTGATGCGGAATGCATCGTACGTGCAAAAAACACTCCAGTAAACCTGACAGGAGATGGTGAATGACCAGGCGTGAGAAACAGTGTAGAAGAATTCTGCCGCTGAAACTGTAACAACGTAGTGGACAGCGTGTTCAACAGTTAAAATTCTATCTGCAGGTACACAACTGGGCGTCCCCAGTTGCTTCCCCTTCAGTGACATAGCTTCGTTGGGCAAGGTAATCACTGAAGGCCTTGCCCCCCTGCTTTTGTTGGAAAATCAAATGAAAAAGCCAAAAAGGCAATGACAAATTGGAAAACCATTGAAGCACATCATCAAGCAAGTTAGAAGTTTTACATCTTTTCAGATGGTCCACACACACACACACCCTCCCGCAGGAGGGTGGGACAATAAGGTCCCGACAATGAGATGAAAATGAAGAGGAAGGGAAATGAAGATGAGGTGAAGATGACAATGAGATGAAAGTTACTTAACCAGGACGCAAAGAGGGGAACGCAAAAGAAGAGGGAAAGAGCAAACACCAACACATGAAACCTAGCCCAGAACGGGCAACCCTGGAAAGGCAAGGGAAAGAAAAGCGGAGGCCGACGGAAAACGGAACAAGACCAGCGGAGGAGGGGGAGGACAGAAGCGCCTGAATCAACCTGACACGGCGAAAACCTACAACAACCTCAGCACGCAACGGGCCAAACTTACCTGGAGAGAGGAGAACGCAAGAACACATGAAAAAGGGACCCATGGGGAACTAGTTAATGACATGATGCATCCACAACGCATGCAAAATTCGTGATAAGGCTCAAAGGCCCTCGGCTTTCAAGTCACAACCCTCTGGACGGCTTACGTGTTCAACCCCTGAATTAGGTGCACAATTTCAACCTCACCGAGAAACCAAAAAAGGAAGTGGCCAAACCTGGAAAGCATGTCCTGTAGCCTTCACATGGTAACATGTCATGTGAAAATGTCGAGCTCCGTGCTCTCTTGGGCACCATTGAAAAACGGATGTTGTCGCGGCTTCCAACTATGCAGAACATGGTGAAAATGGAAAAGGCGATGCCCAGTACTGCGGCAAGCAGTTTCAACACTCACTCGACCGACAGAGTGAAACCTGAAAAGTGAACGGCTGTTTCACTTTACTTAGACGAATTACAAATTCAAAAGTGTAAATTCAGAGAT